AAGTTGATTTTGCGTATCTTTAAAAAATTAACAAAGATTTAATTTTTTGCTGACTGGCGATGTTTGAGTTTTTTTACGTGACCGATTTGTTTTAGTGTATTAGAACAGTATGTTAGATTCTTGCTTTACTCTTTAATGATCGGTGAATTTCGATTATGTGTCTTCTTTAGGACTTACAATGATGACTTCTGGCTACTGAATGAAAATTTCCTTAGCTGACTTTTTGTTTGTTATCATTGGAACAGTTATGTTTTTTTTTCGCGGATACTCATTTTTGTTTGGTGAAAATGATTGTGCATAATATTTAAATTTGACAATGATGGATTTTCTTTATTGACTGGTGGTGTTTGAAATTCTTCACTGGCCTATTAGTTTTTGTTCTTTGAACAGTAATTCAGGTTTTTGCTGTTCTCTTTTATGATTGGTGAGTTTCGATTGAGAGTCGTCTTTAGGACTTGACAACGATTGTTTTTTTGTCACTAGTAGGTTATGTTGGATTGATTTCACGGTCGACCTTTTGTTTGTTAGCATTAGAACAGCATTATTTTTTCGCTTTTTATCTTTATTTTATGAAGTTTGATTGCGCATAATCTTTAGGACTTGCTATTGACGATTATTTTTGTTATTGACTTGTGATATTTGGATTTTTGGTCTTGTTGAATTTTTAAAATTCCGCAGTCTCGAATCTAACCTTTCTCTCGGGATCATGGCATCATTGTGTACCTTTTTCGGCATTCAGCGCTTTTTTTTTTACATCAAGTATGGGTATTTTTTGTTACTCTCATACCAGCCAAAACTGAACATTACAAGTTGCGGTTATAGGAGTAAAAGGTATTGGACTAAGATGTTGCACAGTCAAAAATGATTACATAATTAAGAAAAAAGTGCTAATAAATCGAAGGTCAACCTTTATCTCAATTTCCACATTCCAGAAATTTTCAATAACGAAGTTTGTTCATTTGGAGGCCTTGATTGAAAATGAAACTTGAAATATTAAAAAAAAACTGAAAAGAAAAAAACGTTTGTCAAGTAACTTCCATTCCACCCCTTTTTTGCTTTTTTAAAATTTAAAAAACTAAATAACTCAGCTCTTCTCGTATTCATATGCAAATACATAAATTTTCACGTTCCGTTATGATTTCATAGATACGGTAATGTTTGATCGTGCATAAGACTTGACAAAGTGTTTTGCAGTCAAGTACTACTAAAAGATTATAAAGGAAGGCTAGAAATTACTGGTAATTGCTATATCTGGAATTTTAACCATTGTATGTAATTTATAGATATTCGATGCTATTTTTTGCTTGTGATTTCTCGTTTTCATGGTTGCCGACTTACTGTTGGTTTAGTTTCTAGATTGTGAATATCACCTTTTGTTTTCGATATTTATAGCAATCGTAAGTCTGTGTGGGTGGTACATGCAATTTTCTCCATTTTGCCAAAAAAAATTTGTTTCACTTTTAGCTGATTGGGTGTTAGCATTATTTCTGTTGGCTCAGTTGCCTTTTTTAGTTCCCAAAAATACCGGTGTTAATTGTTCGAAGGTATCCACATAAAGCCAAGGGTTCTAAAAGTTTATTGATGTTTGTTTTGAGTTCTACCTCTTGATAAATTTTGTACGCGTGCTCCGTGAATGTACTACCAAAAACTGCATTCGAAACTGCCAAAAACTATGGAATTGGAAAGTTTCCTGCATGTATCTTTTCTGTTGTTTGTGTTCACATATCATCATCATATTGATATTAGTTTGTGGCAAACGTCTGGAAATTTTGATAGACATACTTTTTCGAGCTGTTGTTTCGACTGAGTGACTTTTGCCAGTCTTCTGTCGGGTAGCTAAGAAAAGACGACTGTACTAAAATCAATAATTTCTATAATTTTTGCTTCCTGCCTGTTATTTGATTGTTAAGTATTTATTACTAACCAATGAGATTTCACAACTAACCCCTATATCCTTAGGCTCTTTTTCCTCCCCCCCCCCCCCCCCCACCTCACTCAAACTTGAATTTTATGGTCTAACGAGCGGTCTTACAAGGTTAATAATGGAGACCAAATATGTTTGTCATGGCCTATTTAGTCTACATGCCAATTTTCATGACAATCGGACAAAGTGAACAGTAACCTCAAATATAAAAGTTTGCAGGTGGGGGGGGGGGGAAGGAAAAAGAGCCTATCATTATAGTAAACATTGACTAGTTTCACTATCAAACCAAAGTTAGAAAAACAGTAAAAGTTGATCTAACAATAACCTCGCATTTCCAGTTCTCCTATCAATCTATTGAGATCAGGAAAAATATTGAAAATTGTAACTATTATTTTTTGTCAGATATAGAAGTTAATATTGGGTTAATTCAATTTTTTAAATATTATTGGAAATTTGTGTGCAGTTTTAATGTGAACTAAACTATTTTAGTTCTTCTTTCACTGGAGCTTAGATAGATGGAAATTGATGAAATGAATTAAGCATTAAAGATATTTTCACTCATCTAGGTCGCGTTGTTTTGTTTTTTCTTTCAGGAAAAATCACATGCGTTTTTTAGGCCGTTTGATTTTTGACTCGTTTAAAGTTGACTTGAAATTCAAGTACTGTATGAGTGGTGAAATTAAATTGCTTAATGAAAGTTAAAACGTTGTCTCCAATAACAAAAGTGCTCAGATAAAAAAATTTTGCGTTTTTGGCTTTTGTTTTAAAAGCGTGTTTGAATTTTCATATTTTCAATTGAAACTGTTTTTCTTTCAGAGCCACTGAATGTAGTAAAGTTTCTTATATAGGTATTCGTGATTTTGTATCTATTGGATGTATGCGTTCCTTGGGTTCACATTAAGAGCTCTTTTTGTAGATTTTTAGCGCTAGTTTTTGTTTGGCTTTATTCTTTGTAATGGTTTTAATCTTTATTAAGAGTCGATGAACGTAGTTCTGACTTTCATATAGGTCGTGATAATTTTGTTGTGTGTTGCAAAATTCTTAATTTGCTCTTATACTAACAGAAGTGCATTCATAATTGTAAATGTACATATAAATGCCCTCAGGTATATATGCACTTTTTGAGTTGAAGTCAAGTTCATTTGCTGGAAGGTAGGCAAAATGCTCTCTCAAATTATGAAACCTGAATGATTCAAGTTCATTTTCTTGAAGTTAGGCAAAATGTACTCTTCAATGATGAAAACTGAGAAAAATCTGATTGGTTTCTACTTTCGAAAATGGAATTTAGTTTTTAGATTTCCAGGCGAAAAAACTTCTTTTAACAATCCAGTTGTTTCAAATTGAGTTGTTTTTATCTCTCCTCCGAATCGCACAAAATGTTAATAATTGATTTTATAATTCTAAGTTTTTCACGATAAAAAACAAATATCAATGCTTGAACGTTTTCGTCAATTAAGCCATCATCAGAATAACTGAAAGAAAAAAAACAACTAACATCGTAAACAATAAGTAACCACATAAAATCAGAGAATAAAAAGCACAATTTGAGCTAACGTAAAAACTATCTTTTACTTCTGTATTTTATATTTTGATTTGCTTTTAGTGTTTTGATTTACTTGATAATTTTGAGTAATCTTTTTCAGTATGCATGAATTTCTAAAAAAAACTTTATCTGGGAAAAATTGAATTGCCGGACGTTCGCTTGTCTGCATATATTTTTCCGGCTTAGTTGCCACATTACGGATTTTTCTTGTGCGCATAGCAATTTTTGTAGTTACAAATGTTGTTCATTTACTTATGCATGGGCATTGTGTGCCTGTTATGAGTTCCTTTGATAGTATTTTTTGTGCTAAAATTTTTCGTTATCTTTTCGGCACTTGAGTGTGGGCTGTAATTCCGTCGTCTTATTTTCCCAATGATTTTTTTTTCAACTATTTCTTTTTTTTCTAAGAATGGTTGAAGTCTTACAATTTGTTTTAGATAAATTAAAATCCCTGGTCCTTTTTTTTTAATAAAAAAAGAAAATTTAAACATAAAAAAATTTAAATTTTTTTAAATTCATTTTTGTTATTTTTTGTTCAGTTTCCACAAAAATTTTAGTTAAAAACTTTGATTTTTTTGATTATTTAATCAACCGTTTTTTTTGATATTTTTCTGGTGTAAGTAATTGCATTTATCGCAAGTTTTCCCCTTTTCCGTTTAATTTTCTGAAGTTTTTCTACAACAATCGAAAATATTTATTCATCGCTTTTTAGTCCATATTGTTTTGAATTAGAGCTGTTTCATTTGAAAAACGAGAACCAAACAAGCCTGAATTGCCAGCAAATCAGAAATTATCAAATTCAATTTTTTTGATAATTTAAATCAAAATTGTTAGACGAAATCATATTTTGCAATGTCAAATTGAGTTGCTGTCTGCTAAGTTTTCTAATGCATTTGTTGAGTTTTTCCAATTTTGTGGAATAACCTCTGTTTTCTGTTTGCTGATGAAAAAAAAAATTATATATATATTTTTTATTTGCGTCTAGCTAATTTTGATCAATTTTCGGGCGTTGATCCGTTTTTAGTTGATCAGGAAGGTGAACTTGAAACTTTTTGAATTTTTTTTGAACAATTTTTTTCTGCTCAACAGGTGTCTGCCCAAAGATGGTCGGCCTATTTGCCATATCACTGATTTTTTCCTTGTAGTTGTTTTCTTGATTTTTCTTTTCTTGTTTCCACTGTTAATATTTTTTATGAAATCATATTTTTTTCTGCTGTCTGCTCAAATTTTGTCGGCTTTGTTTCCTCGTCGTAAGCGTCGTTCCGTTGCTTATTATTTAATACTTCTATCAAGACTTATGAAAATTTAATTTTTGGTAGAACTTGTTTTTTTTCAACGTTTTCCATTTTTGGACTTATTTTATATATGTGTTCAATCGCGTGGAGCTCAGCTTCGCCTCTGTGTTGAAAGTTGCGACTTCACAAGTGTAAAAAAATTGATTTCTAATTCATCAGCTAAAGCATGGTTTGTTTCGCTCGTGGCAATGGTACAATGAGCCAGGATAGTTAGAAACTTTTTATCTGTGTTTTTTAGAGACTTCCAGTGCGTGAGCAGAGTGGCATTCGGGTGCTGGTTTGGGGCTACTACAGTGACATCTTAGTCATAGACGGATGCTCCCTCTGCCACCTCTTCTCCCTCTCCTCCCGACTCCATCCAGACTGGGCATCCGCAGTTACCCTAGTCAGACCCATAGTCAAAGCAGGTCAGTCCTAATAAAATAAGCATGGCACTGGCGGTATTATGTTAAGGCAAAAATGGTCGCAAGAGGCAATGGGGGAGTAAATCAAGGGTAACGATTTTTCCTGGGGCATTTGAATTAATAGCTCAGCAGGAACTTTTCCATTTGACAACTTTCTTCAAATCTGCAAGAAGTTGACCTTCCTTGATTTTGAAACCGAGATTAGTTCCATGACCCTTGCCTTGCCACTTGGTTTATTGGTAAAGCGCGCGACGCGGAATCCTAAGGTCTGAAGTTCGATTCCTGCTCTTCCGTTGTTTTTTTTCAACGTGTATAAACATTGTTTGCAAACTATTTCCAGATCCTAGACTTTCGTCTGATATGAGCAATTTTTACTGTAATAGAAAGTCGTTCTGTAATTTTTAAGTTTACCAACTCTGATTTTCAATAATTTTCGTTTGCGTTGTTTGAAGGGCAAACATAGGATTTTTGTTTCTTCCGTGTGTTTCAAGAAGGGTGGGGCGTAAGAATATCGAGTTTCAAAATTTTATAGCTCGTTTTTTAACATCAAATTTGTATTCGACTCAATGGGGGGTATTGTCGGTTTAGTTGCTCCTCCTGGAATGATTCCAAATTCTTATTTATGCTGTTTTCTGTGTTTCTCGGCATTTTGTCCTCAAATTGAATACCATTCGAGACAAACGTATGAAATTTTTGTAGATGAAGCTTTTTCGTCATTTTCTTAAATTGTATTTTTTTTTCGATTCAGTGGCTTCCGTCTCATCTTGTTATCCACTATCTTGCAATGGTGTTTGTCTTTTGCGAAGCTCCGTATAGGCTCTCTGTAAATATTTTTGACCATACTATATTTAGACACCTGAAAGGAGAGTTCAAAAATTACGAGTAGTCTTTGGGTCGATCCATCAGATTTTTTTTTGTAAACTGAGCACAACGGTTTCAATGAAAAAGTTAGTAATAATTGATTTGTTGCTTATAATTGACATATTGTTGTCGGAATTTGTCTGCGTACTTGTCTGTATATCTGACATTTTGAATGGCGTGCGCGTATAGGGAAGCTGAAGGTGCGAATGGTAGAAAACCCAGCTGAGAAATGGAACGGGAGTAAGAAGAGACAAACGCTGAAACAAATGACAGCAGCGGCTTCTGCCAGTCTAGAGTCAAACAATCGCAACGGTAGAAGAAGAGAAGATGATGATGAAGATAGTGAGCAAGAACAACTGGTCTTCCAACCCAACAGGTATTGTATAAGGGAAAAGCGCGGTCACAGTCGGACAAAAATTGTTCCGTGATTGTCTAGTCATTGTCACGTGATCAACTGGCCACGATTCACTTGAAGAAATATTTTCACGTCCTACGAATGTCATCATTTGAAATTTGTTTTCTAAGATTTTTCTGTTTCGAGCAGAAGTGAATAATGTTAAATTGCGAATTTTTTCACCAATGATTATGAGGTTCGTGTTGAAGCAGCTCGAACCGTGTTATCGTATTGGTCCAAAAATACCGAAATAAACGAGCCTCAATCGAGTGCATCATGATGTATGTTGCGAAGAGCAATCGATTTTTGGGCACTGGTTTCTCTCGTGAATTAATCTTGACTTCAATCTATTCGTACCTCTGCCCGTCTGATATATGAATATGTAACTGTGCTATATCCAATTGCCATCATGTCCTGTCAATAATCATTCCCTTGATCTGATTACGTCAATTATTCTGTGTTAACGGTCAATAATTCTGTTTTATGCAGAGGCGAAGACGAAACATCTGCAGATGCTAAAACGAGTGATCAAACAAGAGTTCGTAAAACTTCGTTGGGTTCAAATGAAACTCTTCCGCGCTATGTTGGAAGCACCAATAACGATCCCTTGACTCCCAAATTGACCTTGAAAAAAAGTCTCTCGACGTCTTCATTGTCTCGAACGGACTCTGCGTTGAGATCGAACCAGCTTAAAAATGTGCGACTAGCGAATTTGAGTTCGGAGCAGAATTTACACTCCATGCAAAACATGTGGAACTCAAATGCAGCTGCAACAGCTAGCTATGAGAGTTTGCACGAGTTCAAAGGCCACCAAAGTTCGTCTAGGAAGAAAAAATCTAGCGTGATGGCGAATCAGAGAATAGTGTACAGGCAACTCATTAGAGGAAGTTAGTTTTAAGCAATGCTGGAACTTATCACCTGACTGTTTAGGTTTTGTAACAATCAAGCTTTGTTTTGTAATGTGAAACGAATTGCTTTCTATGTACTTGTGACCGGGCACCCTATTGAATCAAACGCATATGGTTTATAATGGTTTTTGATTCGGAAGACAAGGTCGCATTGATGCTGGGAAGGACGAGGTGTGTTTCAATGTTGTGACCGAGTCTACTTCCTTGATGTTATAAACTCATAATCTAGACGCCTGTTGATTTACAATGCAATGTGAAATCAAGGGTTGCGAAAATTGATCGAATTATATTTTAGATTCAATTGAGAGTTGTTTTCAATTGCTATGGTCGCCATGTTTAACAGCTCACCACTCGTAACCTTTAAGAAATCGATTGGAAATAACAGTTTGAATTTCGAGATAAAGCTAGCTGGGAAAGGTCAAATGTCTAGACAGTTAGTCTTGAAGTTTTGAGCGCAAGGCAAGGAGGGGCAGGGCAGCGAAAGTCCAGACAAGGAGGGTTAGGGCAGCGTAAGGCATGGAGGGGCTGCTCAAGGCAAGGCAGGGCAGCGCGAGGAAAGGAAGTGCAGAGCAGCGAAAGACAGGACAGCCCAAGGCAAAACAGGGCAAGGTGGAGCATGCTAAGGCAGCACAAACAAAGTACGGAAGCGCGAGGCAAGGCAGGGCAATGTGAGGAGGGGCAAGGTAATGTGAGGAGGGGCAAGGCAAGGAGAAGCATGGCAGGTAGGGAAGCGCAAGCCAGCGCAAAGAAAGGAAACGCAGTGCTGTGAAAGAATAGGCAAGGCAGAGCCGTGTAAGGAGCATGGCAGGGCAAGGCAGATCAATGCAGCTCAAAGCAAGGCAATGCAAGGCAGCCTACTTCAGGGCAGCGCAACGCACTGCAGTGCAGCAGAAAAAGGGGCAAGGCGAGGGGGGAGCGCAGGCAAAGCAGAAAAATTTTCAAGATTTTCATCATGTTCAAGGCCATTCGAGTTTTTTTTCTAATTTAGTCTCATAGAATAATAACCCACCTGATCATACAAACACAGCGTGTCGGTGAATAGTTTCTTTTCTTACTTAGCGGGAAGAGGGTTACATATGCGATAGAGAAGTCCCAATAATTGCCCAGTGCCTCGCAATCTAGAAGAAGCCTCATTCATTCTGTTTTTTTTTGCTTCGGTGATGTCAATTGAACTATCAAGTAAATTAGATCAAATGAAGCAAACAAAGTGAAAACGACCGAGCGGTGTCTATTGATTGGTTAACTGAATTATACTTAAATGGTCATTATAGGAATGGAAGGGGGCTATAACGGGATAGAGCTGTTTTCTAGAAGAGCCTTAAGACATATCGAATCAATTTAAACTGTTACAACTCTTTTTTTGGTCGAAAGTTTGCTTGAAGTTTTTCGTCACATTTAACAATTTCATTTAATCTATTAAAACAAACGCAAATGTTTCACAGTTCAATCCTTTTTTGCGTCAGAAGTTAATTTTGGGGAAACCATCAAGCCATCAAGGCAAATTGAACAGCAGATCGGTAGATCACAATAGTAAGCAAATAACTATTTTTATAGATATATTTTTTGGAGATACGTCATTTGAAAAGAAATGGGCAAATACCCAATATGCTGCTCCGATAAACTTGCTTCTGATATATACTGACTTAATACGACCGGATCAATTTTGCTTAACAAGTTCAGTAATAGCCAAAATTTACTAGATAATTTAAACTTGGCAATTTAGGTCGAGCTTAAACATGTAAAAAGATTATGATGATGAAGCTTGATGGTGAGATGTGTGTCAGACGCATTTAAGTTTTTGACTTTTAATTAATTAATTCATGTTTCAAAATAAATTTAAATATTTCATGTGTTAATCTCTTGAATAGCTTGGAGCTAGAAGCCACTTTTTGCGAATCGATTCAAGCCATGAGAAGAACCTTGAATATGTCAAGTTTAATTTACGGTAAAAATAAATTCTCAGGTAGTTTGACGAAAAGTATAGGCGAACTATACTTGGTCAAGCTGGTATAGTTTGTGGGTGCATATTTATTTTAAGCATGTTAAGTTATAATATAAAGAGCTTATGTTTTCGCTTATGAGAAGAAAAGTTGTTCAAGAAATGGCCAGACAGCTTCTTTGTTGTTGACAGTTGTTTAAAATGCTTAATCCAAAATTTTGTTTAGTCATATTTTGCTTACTCTAAACTAGTTTTGAAAAATTGTACGAAATGCCTAATTGCTTTGTTCGATTTCATAGAGTTCTTTTGTCTTTGATTGTTTTGTTTTGTTTTTGACATGACTGGTGTTTCCGTAACAAAAAAGTATCTGCTATCATTAACCTTGTGTATAAAGTTGAAATTATATGTGATAACTCTTGGGTGTTCTTCAAGTGTATTGTTGTTTCAGAAGATGTGGTGGTTGCCCTCACGCTATCTGGCCATGTGAAAGTGTGGTCACTATCTTCTACTGACAGAAAGGCAAAATCTTTGATGAATTTATTTTGATTCTCTTGAATTATCACAATCGTTTTGGCGTTGAAATTCTACACTGCCTCTACGCGCTTTCTCACTCATGTAGCTATGTGAACATGAAGGATTTTAATTTTCAAATACGTTTTGTACACTCAAACTAGAACCACCCTTTGTTCTCATATTTGATTAATAATTTTGATGCTCTATGAGGACAATTTTGCCATAAAAGTAAGGCTACTGAACCTGTTATTAGATTTAGGAAAAGTTAATTCTCTAGCGAAGATAGCTCCGATTCATACATTGGAGTTGGGCGCTTTTGCTGCGTCTGATGTCGGCTTATTTGTCATGTAATTTAGGAAATGGAATTCATTCCTGAGGAACAGTCGAAGAGTATCCGATGTATGAATCCCTGTCACATGACCTGCTGCTCCGCCAATCAGAAGCTTCTGCTCATAATCACAGAGGCCGAATGGTTTCTCTATGATCTAGATGATTTCGTCAAACTCTGCGGTGGAATCGCCCCTCCCCATCCAGCGTCTACAACAGGGGGTGCTTCTTGTGTTGTGCACACATGGAGTAGGGGATCCTTTCTGACAGTGGATAAAATAGCTGTTTGGACTAAACAGGGAATGTGTGTTGTGTACCAACTGCCACCCGAGTAAGTTAAATTAATTTTGCTTGCGATGTGCCACCGTTATCAAATCGGAACTGACTTTTTTCCAAGTTGATAACAAAATCATTGAATCATTTCTTCATCAGACATTTTTGGTCAACAGAGATATTTTGAGCTTATGGGCTTTTTAATTTCTCGTTATATTAAAAAGTTACATTCATGTTGATTGAAAACCACTGTTTTTTTTCTGTTTTCCGTTTCGCTTAAAATGTTTGTTCAGCTTAAATGGTTCCGACTTATTTTATATCGGCCTTGTAGTCTCATTTTGCGTCATTCGATGGGTTATAACAATTTTTTTTATCTGTGTGAGTGCGCGCGTGTGTGTGTGTGTGCGCGCGTGTGTGTGTGTGTGCGTGTGTTGGGTTAATGAAACATGAAATTTTCGAGCTTTGATTTTTTTGAAGCTAAAAATTATTCATTAAAAAAAAATTTCGTCTCGTTGGTCGTCCAACCAAGTTTTTTTCGGCTTAGTTGCCAAATCATTACGCTAGCGAGCAGCTAGTGTTTTTGTACGAACATTCTTGTTTTTCTCACCTAGTTCGCAAATAAAAGTGTTCATTAAAAGTGTTCACGTGTGTGCCTTTTTGCTATAATCACGATCTGTAGGATGGAGTTTCATAGCATCTGTTCTCGGCTTTATTTATGGATTGTGTTTGTGATGGACTAAGCGACCGTTTCTGAGTGGTTAGTGCATGATATTCATATTTTCTAGGTCGTAGGTTCGAGTCCGAGATGTCACCGAATTTTTAATAGTTCGAGGCTTATTTTTACTTTTCTAATTGCACTTAGAACTCTAAAGCTGCTTTTTGTCGTGTTCTTGCTAGTGTTCGCGGAGCACAGCTTCAGCTCTGTGTGAATTTTGTTTCAATGCCAATTTTTTTCTGGCGATTGTCTTGCGAAAAACGTATGAAACTGTGGAGGACTTTTTTTTCGGCTAGCTTCCATGTATCGCTTGTAGTGCGAAGCTCCGCTTTGATTTTGCAATTTTTTATTTGAAAGGCTTTTTTAAGCTTCTTTATGGTACAAAAAAAAGTACCACAGAAGTTTAATTTAGCAATTCACTTTTTATGAGTTATTCACCATCTTTCGCGTGCGATTCGCAAGCTTTTTGAAATCGGAATATGTTTAACGAAATCACTTGAATCATTCGTGGCATCCGTTGGTATATTTGTTCTGATGGAATATCTGGTCTTCAGATATTTTTTGAGTATGTCTACTTGAATCGCCTTTCTAGTTGACTTGTTTGTATCGTTGATTAACCAACTTTTTGAGGCATTTTTTATCGGTTACTTCTTTTTTTTTCGCTGTAAGGTGTCTTCGGTTTAAATGGTATCAGCTCATTTTATGTCTGTGTAGTTGCCTTTTAATTCGACGCTTGAAGCGTTAACATATTTTAAAAATCATTTGTGATCCAGAGGGGGTGTACAACTTGGCAATTTGAAAATTTTTATGGCACAAAGTTTATTCTTTTTTTTTTGTGCTCAACGTTCGTCTACCCAATTGATGAATGCTTAACTACCGCTTGATAACTTTTGTTGGTTTATACGTAGTTAAAACTGGCTATTGTCTTTTTCTGCATCTTTCCTCAAATTAAACCACATTCGAAATAAACGTAAAAAATTTCCTCGATGTTTTTTTTCTTTTTTTTTCGACGTAGTGCCTTCGCTAGCTATCGTGCAGTTTTTCATCATGACTTTTTATAGTTTTACTATCGGCTAGCTTGCAAGTATCGCAAGTGGGGCAAAGCTTTTTTTCTTTCTTACCACCGAAGTTGTTAATAGCATATGTAACTTTTATCCGGTTTTAGCATCTTCTACCATGCGGATTAACTGAGTCATTTTGATCTGAAGTTATTTCTGTAATAGTTTGATGAAATTATTCATTGTACCTGTAAAACTAATTGGAGATACGGTTCATTTTTAGCGATGAATTAAAGTAAGTAGTCAAAAAATGTCTCTGTCTCTCTGATTTCTAACTTGGTTTATGGGGGAGGAAGGGACTAAGTACAAGTTGTTTAGGGCCTTTTCTGTCAATCGGCTTATAATTCGAAGAAATTAAATCAAGATAGAATTTATTTTGGTTTTCATGCATTTCAATGAATCAAATGGAGCAATTACCAAAGTTTCGAAATAATAAAAACATCGAATTTGGACCGTATAACAGAAAAGACCCATATGATCAGCTTCTACAAACTTATGAACCGGGTATTCTGTTTGTAGCGTGAACCCAGAGAACAAAAGATACAGATCTAAACTAGACAGCTCCAAGGAAGAGCATCTGAAAATTCTGGCCTCCTTTGACGCACACGAAGACTACATTCGTAGTCAGAAAGAGTCCAAAAGTGAGGACGATGAAAATGGTCTAAAGATGTTTGACTTCGACTCTGCGACGAACATTCTCGCGCCTGATTGTGTGTCGGCATCGCAGTTTTCAAACATGGGATTCGTGTTTGCTTCGGGTAATGAGGAAGGCTTCCTTTCTATACACGTGCTGCCCAGTTCTATTCTCTCTATTGACGGGAAAACGAAAAATTGGGATCCTAGTATGCTGAACAAAAGTGAGTTTTCACAGTGAGGTTGAGTTTTTGTCTCAGCTAACGTTTTAAAAATCTGTTCGGACAGACATAATTTGCATCTGAGGAGGCAGTTTACCATAGTTCTCTCGTTTTAGAGATTCATTGCCTTTCATCTACATCTCTAGCTCATGTTTGGGAGAAGTTCAAACCATCCGGACTAGTTGACCACTTGGTAAGTTAGACAGTCTGTTTTGTATTTAAAACAAACATTTTTGAGTGCTTCGCAAACATTTGTTTTTGGAATTCTTCCCAATCCGGCTCTTAAGGACCTAAATTTTAAGACAGGTCGCAACCCTAAGAATATTTTTTGGCGAGGTATTTCTCAATCGTGGAACTTGTATTGGTGTATAGAGCATTTTGAAGAAAGAAATTAAATTCAGTACCAGAGAGGCTCTCGGAGCTTTGAAAAGACGAAATCTCCCGTTAAGCACCCGATGGTCAATGAAGAAAGTTGCCAGAATAAGCTTCACATTGTTTATTTTTCTAGAGCTCAGCTGGCAAATCACATATCTCGTGAAATTCTGAAACTAGAGTTGCTGTGAGTTTAAGCTCTCATTAATGCCTAATGAAACTTACTTAGCGAAATTCAGGTGGACGAAAATGGAGCCTCGCACAAAGTGACGAGTAGTCTCTACTTGGCACAGTATGGCAACTTAGCTTGTGGCAGAGAGGATGGTTCGATAGTGTTGATTCCAGCCATAGAACACGCGGCCCTTAAGCTGCTAGCACCCCAGTACACGAAACAGTTAGGACTCCCTTCTTACTTTGTGATGCGGGGAGGACACTACTCAAAAGTGACCTGTCTGTTATATCCCTACCAGGATTCCCACAGATACGACAGATCTCTCTTTGTATCGGGTGAGGTTCAAAATTACGTTTGTTATGTGTTCTAGCGATATACTATGAAGGAGGAATGAGCAAATAAGTTTGAACGTAGAAGTGGGTCAAGATTGTAATTGTATTTTGGGCGAAAAATATGTATGTAAGTTATCAAACCCTTTTTCATTCATCGTCAAATTCGAGACCAGTCATTTTATTTGATTGTGTTAAATTGAGGTACAGTGTTTTGTTATGTTTTTCTTAGGTGGGATGGACTTTTCTGTGGTGATTTGGAACCTGTTGAGTGGCCAGCTCATTAGGCGCTTCGTCAACCACGCAGGCCAAGTGGAGAGACTCTTCATTCCACCAGACACCTGTGGTCCTAGAATCAGGGTCAGTTTCGATATTCAGAGGCCCATTCAAAACGTACAGATAAGATAAAACAGTCACTTTGCCATTCATAGCTGTTTAAGTGTCAATGAACGAAGTGATAAAACAGTTACTTTGCCATTCATAACTATTCAAAGGTCCATAAACGAAGTGATAAAACAATCACTTTGCCAGTCATAGCTGTTTAAGTGTCAATGAACGGAGTACACTGCAGTTTTTTGTTCCGACTTTTGCAGAAAGTGAGGAATATATATGCTCGCGTGGTTTTTTTTTTTAAATTCAGACCAATTTTCAAAGAATTTTTCTCGGGGTATCGATCCCTGGATCTTTGCGCCCCGCTGAATTTGCACACCACTATAACAACCACTAGGTTAACTAAAATGCTCGTATAATATTTTGATGATGAAAGTATAACGCGCGTTATTTACCCGTGGGGAATTATCCCTCACTACACATTGGTCCAAATGAATTGAGACAAGCTTATTGGTCTTACTAATTCCATACACGACTCAAAATTTACACTTAAAATTTGATATTTTTAACATAAAATGCCAAGTTTGTCAATATTTAATTCACCAAAAACTATTCGAGACCACTTATTGGGCAGTCGGAACAATCTAGGTTTTGCCCTGATAGGAGCAGTCTTTTCACTTTTCATTCAATCAAAAAACTATGCTCTCAAATTACGAAAGTCCAAATGGTGCGAACATAGTGATTGACTTTTAATTACGAAAATGATTTTAGTTTTTTAGATTTACCAGCGGAGTAAAACAATTACCCATCGATCCAGTTTTCTGTAATTGGGCTAGTTTTATAGAGAGTCGATGAACTTAGCTCAGACTCTTATATAGCTCGTGATGATTATGAAAAAGGGCCAATCATAATATGTTCTAGAAAATCAAAGAGCTTCAAGGGCATCTAGATTGTTCTTTGAATGATTTAAGTGGAGATTTTGTCAAAAAATAAGCCGATAAAACTGTGTTGGCTCTGTTTTTTTTTTGGAAAAGTCTTAAAATGCCCTAATAACAAAAGAAGTGCATTCATACTTTTAAATGCATTATATGAATGCCCTTTTGTATATATGCACTTTTTGAGTTCAATTCAATTTTGTTTGCTAGAATGTAGGCAAAATGCACACACCAATTATGAAAGCTGAATTGGTGCAAAAGATGTGATCGATTTCTAGTTCGATAGTGGAATTTAATTTAGATTTCCCAACGGAATAAAAACTTTTGCTTGTAATCCAATTTTCTCAAATAGGTTATTTTTATCAAAAAAATCTCCGATAATAAACTGCTCTTGAAATTCAAGAAGCTTTAAGGTCATATACTTTTTTGTTTGAAATTCGAAAGTTGAGGTTTTTTTTTCTAAAATCAGGTTTTCTGTAATTGGGCTAGTTTTATAGAGAGTCGATGAACTTAGCTCAGACTCTTATATAGCTCGTGATGATTATGAAAAAGGGCCAATCATAATATGTTCTAGAAAATCAAAGAGCTTCAAGGGCATCTAGATTGTTCTTTGAATGATTTAAGTGGAGATTTTGTCAAAAAATAAGCCGATAAAACTGTGTTGGCTCTGTTTTTTTTTGGAAAAGTCTTAAAATGCCCTAATAACAAAAGAAGTGCATTCATACTTTTAAATGCATTATATGAATGCCCTTTTGTATATATGCACTTTTTGAGTTCAATTCAATTTTGTTTGCTAGAATGTAGGCAAAATGCACACACCAATTATGAAAGCTGAATTGGTGCAAAAGATGTGATCGATTTCTAGTTCGATAGTGGAATTTAATTTAGATTTCCCAACGGAATAAAAACTTTTGCTTGTAATCCAATTTTCTCAAATAGGTTATTTTTATCAAAAAAATCTCCGATAATAAACTGCTCTTGAAATTCAAGAAGCTTTAAGGTCATATACTTTTTTGTTTGAAATTCGAAAGTTGAGGTTTTTTTTTCTAAAATCAGGTCAGTTTGTTTTCTGTTTCCTTGCGTTCATTGACTTTTTTCCAACTCTCAGTTGGCTATGTTTATGGGTCTTAAGGACATCATTGGGTTTATTGACGTTTTATTGACTATAGATTTTTTAGTTATTGACCATTAACTAATTCCAGAATCGCGCAGGATTTTACTTAGAGAAAATATTTCACTGCAAAAGATAATAGCCTCTTAAATCTTATTTTGTCCAAGTCTATTGGTGTTTCAGCAATGTGTGGTTAGTGTGAGTTCGGACCACGGAGTCAACCTAACCTCGCTTTCTGAGAGGAACACAATCCTGATGGCTGGCTGCCATCTGTTCCCAGTCAAGACAGTCAAGTGGAAGCCCTCCCACGACTTCATGCTCGTCCAGACAACTGACGGAACACTTTACGTCTGGCACCTGTCCAGTGGGTAAGACGTTCGCTTATGCAAATTCCGGTATAAGATGCGCTTTTGCTTGCAATGTTGACATTTGCTGGCATGCTATTTTGGGTAAATGCGGTTTTTTACCATATTATACTATGAAGATCAATTGTGTACACAATAGTTAACTTGCACAGCATCAAAAGTTCTATCACATTATGATTATGTTAAATTAGTTATTCAAAGTTGAGAACTTTGAAATTCAAAAGTGGAGATTGAAAAATTAAGCGTGCACGAGCAATTGTTTCCAGTGGATGGAATGTCAATGTGTGATGACGTTAACAGGTACCTAGATAGAGTGATCCAGGGTTCGGAGGCGGAGGACATCCTGAGTGCGTGTGATGAGATGGAGCACGAGGTGACTATCAGAGGCAATTTGAAAGATGCCTTCAAGAGGAGAAACGTGGATGCTCTCAAAGACATGGCAATACAGCAGATCACTGACCTCGCAGTGCAAGGCAAGTTGAAAAAAAATCGAAAAGCGAGAAAGTTGGAGTGTTTTCATTTTATGTAGCATTCTTTGTGTTATTGCGTTTTCGTTCGATTACCCTTGCGATTAGCAAGTGTTATAAAATCGGGTAGCAGATTTTTTTCTTGGAAAAAATTTGTCCTACTAAAGCACTTCTTGGGTGGTTGCAGCTTTGCTTTCTGCAATGCAGCTAATTTCTTCAATGCAGCTTACTTTCTTAAATTTATAACCTGCAGCTGTGCAGTTGTTTGCGTCAAAAATAAGTTAGAATTGTTTTTTAATGCTTTTGTTGCGACCATTGAAAATGGAGATGAACTTTCTTTTTCGGTGTCTTTTAGTTAGTTTTTCTTTTTGTCATGTTTTCCCAGTAAAAGCAGGTACCACAAAAAAATTTCTGAAAAGATCGAATGATATATCACGTTGAAGCCTGGTAAGTCGTGAACGACATTAAAATTTTTTGAAAAAAATTTCCCTCCATTGAGAAAAACTCTTTTTGGTCTAATTTCGAGAGAATTAGGTGGACGAGCTGGCTTGTTTTCTTGTTCAGCCAAAAAGTTTACCGAGAATGATTATTTCAATAGGTGGAGTGATATAAGATATTAAAGCCTTTTCAGCCTTGATTCGAACGACGTTAAACAATTTTTTATAAAAGTTGGTCCCAATGTCGAAAAAAACCGAAGTGAAATTTTAGTTGAATTTTGAGCGAGTAAAACATACGAGCCGGTTTTTTTACAGGGTCAAGCCATGAAACTTAAGGTTAACATCAGTAAAAATATTTTTTAATCGACGTTTTTTAAATAGTTTGACTAATACAGTTGCTCGATTTGCTTTTTTACAGTGATTGTCGAATATGCCTAAATTCTATGTTTTTGCCATATCCTTTATCACACAACTCACACAAATCAACACTCATTTGATTTTAAAAATCATAAAAGTTTTTCCAAGTTTTTTTGTATGAGTATGATCGGATCATTCTGAGCTACTTGCTCAGCAGCCGCCTACCCTTTTTTCTACGCGAAATCAGTTACCACAGGGGAATGGATTGAGGTATATATGATATTAAAGCCATTTCAGTCGTGATTCGAACGACGTTAAAAAATTTTGAAATACATTTTTCAGAGTAGAGCCAAACCGGTGAGAAGTTTTTGATTTTAGTCTAATTTCGAGGTAGTAAGGTGAGGCTGCAGGCTTACAATAGCTTATTTGAGGCGTGAAAATTTAGTTTTACCTGAGTAAAATTAGTTTAAGTGCCATTTTGGGAATCAAAAACTGCAAAATAATTTCTGCATTTTTTTCGTTTTTCTTGTCATTTTTCCACTAAAGCTGTTCTCCAATTGGCGAATTTGACTATGAATGTCGAATATGCCTAATTTTTAATTTTTAGTTCAGATCTTTTTATCGCACCAGACAGAATAAACGGCACTAATTTGATAAAATATATATATTATTTTTTGAAGACTATGGGCAGAACATTCTGTGCTATTTGCACAGTAACCGCCGGCTATCCTCGTTAAAAATTAAAATTGGTGGATTTGGTTCATCTTGGCTTTTGGAACCCCTAGGAATCTACCTATGTATTGTCGACTTACTTATTGCTTCGTTTAAAATTTTGTTTCCATACAATTTTAACGCTGTTAGCGGTCTTTCTCGCCATAACGTTGAAAAGTTTTGACATCGTTTTTTTAAGTTTTTTTTTTCGACTTAGTAGTTCACATCTCATTGTATGTAGGATAGCTTACCATATGCTATATTTGTGATATATTTCAAATGGCGCGAAGCTGCATTCCACCTCTGTATGAGAAATTAGGCTTGTGTGGTTCTAACACAATTAGGTTCTGATTGTTTGAAGTTAATGGATTAGTTGCTTCACATGTTTTGAGATGTTGTTTATGAAGCAAAATATAAATGGACAGAATTGTTTATTCAGAAAAAGTTGGTGTGAACAGTCGTGGGGATTCGAACAGGAAAAGAGACGGGGCTGGGACTTCCGCTTCGCCGTCTGGCTCATTTAGTGGACTGAATATATGTCCGATCAGGCTTAGTGACGGAGATCCATTCTTCCACGTGTTATTTTTTGACACAGAGGCACTAGTCATACAATTGCTGAATTGTGACAAGTGAGTACAACGTGTCTTTGCAACGTGTTATTTTATCACATAAGACGCAGTGGTAGTGGCGCTTGCCGCTAGCTTTGCCCATAAATTTAGAAACTGAATAGTGGAAATTTTTCATCCACTCAGAATCGTGGAAAACTACAGTAAGTTCATATTTTCGAAAGTTGTTCGAAAGTTTTTAAAAGCCGTTGACGGAAACCCAATTTAGACAGAAAGTGGATTATCACTTTCTCGCTCCACGCCCATAATCGCCAGAATTTTTCTTGAAATGTTTGTTCTAGCAACAGCCAGCACTGAGCACCCCATTACCCTAGTAATGAACTGTTGTTGAATTAAATCTCCTGGATTTATTTATTTGGGATTTTCCAGGAGATTTCTGAATCCTCTAAAAAATTTAATTTTTGAGCTTCAAGGTGATAAAATTTTCGCACTAGCGAAGCGTACTGTACTATTTTTTTTCTAACCAAAGTCGCAAATAAAAGTGCTCATTTGCTGGCACTTTTGGTAAATCAAATAAATCATATTTAAGCATAAGCCATTTAAAAGCATCTGTTGCTGCTTTTTTGCTAGGATTAAGTCCTGTTTGAAAAATAGATATGATGAAAGTGAATGGGTTTTGTTGTTTTTTGTTTTTTTTTTGCGACGCTTTGGAAAATGTTTACATTTTTTTCGCAGAAAATTTTTTCAGAAAAATTATTATGTACAAATTTTCAAAAAAAGCTATCAATTGAAAAAACGGCTGCTTTTTTAGGTGCCTGCATATTTCTCTAGTCTGTTTTTGTTTTACCCCAAGTTCTACGGCCTTCGAAAGTGTCAAAAGACGGTTTTTTGACCAATTTTGCATTAAAGATTGTGCATTAAATATTTGAGTTTTTTCATTTTCTCAAATATTTAATGCACAATCGGAGATGAGGGTTTTAATCTAAAGAACAATTTATGAGGATCTCCTTTTCTTAAGTGGCTCCACCCTAAATTCGGTAGAAAAAAGTTTTGGCATGAAACAAGACCATTTTTTGACATTGCGTAAATTGTTTTTAAAACTTTCAGTTTTCTCAGAAAAATACCCCGCTAAATCGGATATTAAGGGTATAACCGAAAAAGAACCAATTATGCGAATCCTTCCTGCGTAAGCGGCTATGCACTGCGTTTTGAAAAAAAAAAGGACTAAGAAAAAATTCCAATTTTTGAATTTTTCCCCGTTTCTGAGATTTTTTTGGGATTTTTTTTTGAAAAACTAACCTGCTGAATCTGAGGCTGATTGCTCATTCAAACTCACATTTCAAACTCACACGTTTTACCCCTTTTATTTAAAAACTCCTGTTGTTTTCGGAAAAATCTATTCTTTGAAATTTTTACTGTTGTTTAGAAATTTTATGACTTTTCTCGAAAATAACTAGCTAAATCTGATATCAAGGGCTTAATCTAAAAATCAGTGTGTGGAACTCTTTGCTGCTTAAGAGACTATCCCCATGCTTTAGTAGAGAAAAGTTTATGAACTTAGGAAAAATCAGTTTTTGAATATTGATCGTTTCTTGCAATCTTCACTTTTTGGCGAAGATGAGAGGACGTGAGACTCCGAATCAACAGGTCAGCGATTCAAACTCGGATTATTCAAATAGTTTAATGTTTTTGGTCGAAATTCGTTCTTTGAATGATTAAAGTGGAGATTTTGTCAAAAATAAGCTGAAAAAACTGTTGGCTATGTTTTTTTTTCAGGAAGTCCTTAAAATGCTCTAATAACAAGAGAAGTGCATTCATACTTTTAAATGCCCATTTGTGTGCCCATAAGTATGTGTGCCTTTTTTGAATTCAGTTCAAGTTCGTTTGCTAGAAGGTAGGCAAAATGCACTCTTCAATTACGAAAGATGTAATGACGCAAAGAAATTACTCGATTTCTAGTTTGAAAATTAAATTTATTTCATAGATATCCAGCGAACTACAAATTTTCACTGTAATCTTGTTTTCTCCAATTGGGTTTATTTCATCAACAAAGTTTCAATCGAAAATTGTAGTTGAAATTCAAAAAGCCTAAAGGTTTTTTTTCATTAACTTTCCGTTCATTACTTTTTTAAGCCTTTCTGTTGGCTATGTTTTCGAGTGACAATGAATGTAGTTATTTCGCTTATTGATGTTGAGATGTTTATTTGATTTCTCGCAGAAAAAAAACACCTATATATTAAGATCCAAATTCTTTGTATTTTGCTGAGAATTTGTTTAATCTATTATATATTTAAATGCGGGCTTCACTATCTCGCCATGTTAAAGCTTTTTCAACGTATTATTTTTGCATGTTTAAGCTATATCGTATATTGCAATGGTTAAGATTTTTTTTTCGATTTTCCAATTTGATTTTAGTGGTTATTTTACCGAGTTTAAATTAAGCAGCCCAATATCGAATTAGGGGTTGCGAATTTGGCCTCCAATTTTGAATGCCCGAATCATTTTCATTTTAGCTAACGAGATAAGACGATTTTTGAGATTTTTTCAAAAATTATCTGAAATTTCAAATAACAAAATAATTTAAAAAACTTGAAGTTCTCAACCCTGTATTTGGGCGCTGTCAGAGTACTCTAAGGAGTTACAAATCTTGCCTCCAAATATGACTGTTCAAATCCTTGTAGTTTTCGAGATATGACGTTTTTTGTGATTTTTCAGAAAATTTTCAGAAAACTTAAATTATTATTTTTTTAAAATCTGAAATTCCCAACCCTGAAGTTGGGTAGTGTCCGAGTACTATCAAGGATCGCGAATCTTGCCTCCAAATATGATTGCTCAAATCCTTGTAGTTTTCGAGATATGATGTTTTTTGTGGTTTTTTCAAAAATTTTCAGAAACATTAAATTAATTTTCTCAAAATTTGAAATTCTCAACCCTGTAGTTGGGTCCTGTCAGAGTAATCTCAAAGATTGTTACTCTTGCCTCCAAATATGATTGCTCAATTTTTTTGTAGTTTTCGAGATAAGACGTTTTTTGTGATTTTTTAAAAAAAATTTCAGAAAACTTAAATTACTATTATTCTTTAAACATCTGAAATTCTCAACCCTGTTGTTAGGTCCTGTCAGAGTACGCTCAAAGATTGCGAATCTTGCCTCCAAATATGACTGCCCAATTCTTTGTAGTTTTCGAGATGTGACGTTTTTTGTGATTTTTTCAAAATTTTCAGAAAGTTAAAATTAATTTTTTTTCGAAATTTGAAATCCCCAACGCTATAGTTCGGTGTTGTCAGGGTACTCTAAAGAACTTATCTACAAAGAAATTCAAAAAATTTGAAACTACCAGCTTGATGAAGATACAACCTTATTGTCAGCGTACACCCATGCGTCTCAAATCTTGCCTCTTAATATGAATGCTCAAATCCTTTTAGTTTCCGAGATAAGACGTTTTTGTTTCAATTTTTTTTTCGGGAAACTTAGGTTTAAAAAAGTTCACAAAATTTTGGATTCCTTACCCTATGGTAGGGTGTTCTCAGGGACTCTCAGTGGTTGCAAATCTGGCCTCCAAATTTCTCCAGAGGCCCAATAAGTTTTTGAGATGACGCTTTTAAAATGGGAATGAAAAAAAAATTCAAAGTTTAATTGGGTGCAGTCAGAGTACACTAAAAGTTTGCAGATATTGTTTCCAATATATGCGGTTTTTACTGAGTTGTCGAAAAATTTCGAAGCACCGAAGGTGCGTTAAACGCTAGTATAACATTAAATCTCTTAGAAATTCAAGAGTATTTCACGTAAGTTTGGGTATTTAACCAGCATAACTAATTGCCTGGCTGCCAGTAATTTTTTTTCTACGCTTATGATCGTTGAGATTATGTGTGCTAGTAGAAGTTGTGGCTGGTTTCTCATAGTTTTAAAATTAAAGGCTTCTTTTCTTTCGAGGTTATTACTTATTTTCCTGAAGTTTTGAAAATAAATTTACGCTCTGTTTTTACATACAATATGTCTAACTTAATCACTGATTACACAAGCAACACTTGTGTTATAGTATGAACTTTCTTTTTTTTTCAACCTAAGTCGCTAATATTGTTGCGACGCAAATATTGTTGCGATTAATTGTACTCATTTTGAAAGTGTTCATTCTGATCAATAACCAGCTATTATAGGTACAGCCAATACTAAGGATATTAACACCGACGATTATTTTTCCGACAAGTCTAACAAAAATAACGGAATATTTGTGCTGGGTTTTTTTTCCGACAAATTTCGACTTTTTTAACTAGCCTTTTTTGACGGATTGTTTTTATATCATTCAAAAGGTATTGTTGTCCTGAATTTAAATCTGAAAAAATCTTTTACCTGTGATCATTTTTTGTAAAGTTATGGGGTTTTAAAAGTTTCCATTTTGTCCTATTTGGGTTAATTAATGCGCGATATATTAACGCGTAAGCGGAGACTTCATCTGTCTTCAAAAAAGTTCCAAATTGGTTAAAGGAAGCTTATTTGCGATCATTGAATTGTTTCTAGGAGCGAAAATTATTTACTTTCTTCTTTATATGGCGTGTGAGGGGATGATTTTCACAAAAAATTCCAAATTTGTAACATTTAATGTTTTCATGTTACTACTGCTCCATAGACCTTAAAAGGCAGTCGGAAAATTCAGGTCTTCACCCTGATATGAGCAGTTTTGTATTACAAATAGCTTTTTGGCTTCAAGGTATCATGGATCTGTAGCGTAGAGGTAAGGAAGGAGACCGGCAAGAAAATAAGAGGGTTCGAACCTGGGCAGGGTCGAATATTTTTAATGCATTTTTTCGTATGCTAGCTACAATGCGTCCGCTCTATAAATTGAGGCATATGCAATAAGTAAGTTTCTTTCTTTTTCAAATTGGCTGGTGCTGCTAATGCGTCATAATTGGCTTGCGTTACTTAAGAAATTTTGTAGACTCAAAGTTTTACTCATTCAGTTTGTCCCAGTAGCGTTACCGGTCATTTTTTTTTGCTTGTGTATGCGAAGTGCAACTTCGTATATGTGTTCATTTGATAGCTTGATTTGTGATAGATGCAAATTCAGCGTCTTAGTTTACATTTTTTTTGCGCAGAAATTACATTCATGCCAAGGACGAAACGGTCCAGGATTTTCCGCTTAAAAAAGATTGTTGTTCTATTGTGTCTGACAATTTTTGCGTGGATTAGCTGCCACAGCTCGAATTTTTCTTGTGATTTGAGCTATTTTTTTGAATATATTCCTGTAATGGTGTAGATTAGCGTCAGAAGAATTTTCACAAATTTTTTCCAAAAAAAAAACAAATCAATTTATTTGATAAACCATTTAAAGGCGATTTTTTATTTAGATCTTAAACCTTTTTATTTTGCTGAGAAAGTGTTTAATATAACATTCTATCTATTGGAAATTCAAGAATCTTTACATAAGTTTTTTTCCAGCATAAACAATTGCATTGCTGCGAGTACATTTTATCCACACTTATGATCGTTAAGATTTGTATGTAATTAGAAGCCGGGGCTAGGATATCGTAGTAATTTTAAACTTGAAGAATTTTTTTTTTCGAGGTTATGACTTAATTTTCTGAAGTTTTGGAAATAGTTCTATGCTCTGTTTTGACATACAACGTGTCTAGCATAATCACTGATTCATTTGATAGTTTGATTTGTAATAGATCCAAATTCAGTGTGGTAATCTGCATTTTTTGCGCAGAAATTACATCTTCGTCAAAGACTAAAAGGGCCAGGATTTTCCAATTGAAAAAAAAAAAAAACGTTGGTCTATCGGGTCTGACCATTTTGATTTGGATTAGCTGCCACCGCTCGGACTTTACTTGTTATTTGAGCTATTTTTACAAAAATTGAAAATACTTCTAATGGTGTAGGTAATAGCGTTACAGGAAGTTTCACGAATTTTTCCGTAAAAACAGCAAATTATTGGACATAGACATACCTTTTAAAGACGATTTTTTTTACAGATTTCATTTTGTCTTTCATTCTCATCTTAGTTTCAAGAAAGCAATGGATAGCTTGTTTTACACTAGTTTTTATCAAATTATTTGAATTGATGATTTGATCTTACTGCTAAAGTTTGAAATAAATTGGTTTTTCCATTGAAATAATATAAATTGTAAAATATGAAATATGTTGCAGTTTTTATTCCTGAACACTGGCGTGTATTTTTATATCGCAAATGCCACGCTTAGCCTCGGTGTTATCCAATTGATTTTTGTTGTTTAGACGCCGTCCAACAACGTCCAGTTCTCCGCCTGCAACTCCAGTGGCCTCTGAGAAATTCAAGCCAGAATTCGAGAGACTCGAGGAGGTGCGCAGACTCACTCAGTCCAGCTCAAACTTCACAGATAAGGCAAGACAATCCGGCCTTCTGGAAGAGATTTGAAAGTCAAAACATAAAATATATTAATTCTAATCACTGTTCTCTCTTGAAAAAATGTGTCAGCTGGATATAAAATAGTTAGTTTTGCATGTCTAAGATATTCCACGTTTGCATGAAATGAAGTCAGGCTATAAGTTTATGGTTTTGTTTGGTCAGGTGTCGAAGTTGGGCAACAAATTGCTGGAGAATGTGAAGAAGGAGATAGTTTCGACAACAGCTACTGCTCAGACACAAATGCAGGGCACCAATCTCCAATCATCTTCTGACAGCTCCTCGGCAGCCGAAGCTCACTCGAACAGGAAACCAACTTCGAATATGTCTCTACCCTTAGTCGATGTTGAGGGGTATCTGGAGTCATCGCAGGATGATGCAGCTGACTTTGAGGTAACAGCACTATGCATTTAAGACCCAGATTTATTCATCTAACAAAGATGAGTTTAGTAAGTGTCAATAAACGAAATGAAGATACTTATGTAAAATCTTGTTGATTTTTCCAGGGAAAAAAGTTGATCACCTTAAATTTGGTTTTTTTATGCGTGTTCGGTTTTTGATTTCTTGTGTGGGATCAACCGTATAATCCCCCCTCCTAAGTGACCTACCCTAGAATGTTCTCCCCAAGCACGTATTAAGTCTGAAAATTAATTCTGTATGAAATATGCATTTCATACAAACAGGCAAATAATTGGTTAGTACATTTTTTATGCGGGATTGAGTTTATATGCTTTTAATTACACAAATTAATGTTTCAATTCTATTTTCTTTAGTAATAAGGTTAATTTTGAACGAATCTAGGATAAACTCGAAGTTAGCCATATTTTCTCCCCTAAATCGATTTTTTTTTTGGGGGGGGGGGGGGATTGTACGGTTGATCCCTTTCATGCGGTGTCTTCAAAACTTAAACTTGAAGATATCAACATTATGTTTCAAGTATGGCTGTAATTTTTGTTATAGAAGCAGAGAACTCAAAAACAGGTAAACGATTTTACGTTGGGAATGGTACATCTTAATAATTACTCTAGCGATCAGCAACTGTTATTGTTTCTACACTTCGGATGTGTTTTTTTTTCCACGCTGAAAGTTACCACAAATGATAATGGGAATGATTCGAAAGACATATCATATTAAAATATTTTCAGTCTTGATTCGAACGACGATTTTTATCTTAATGTTCTCCCGTGTCGAGAATTGAAGTTTTAATCTACTGTAGAGCAAGTAAAGCGAGAAAGTAGGTCTTATAAAAGTTTTATTCCCATGTTTCAAGTCAAATCGAGAAAATTTAGGTCCATTAAACTTCAAGTAAAATTTTTCTGTGAAGTTTCTTTTAGCGCCTTCTTTGTTTTTGATTTCTCCTTCATATTTCTTCTCGTTTTTCGAGGAAAACTTTTGTCAAATATGCCTAGTTTAGATATATATTATTTGGCTAAATTCTAAGCTGTCATTCAGATCCTCTCATCAAAATACGAATAAAAAACGACACAATTTGAATAAAAAATGAATTTTGAAGTTTTTATGAACTTCAATTGGAAGTTTTTGTTATCGTGGTTGGAATTTTTTCTGCTACTTTCACAGCAACCGGTTACCCTTATTTTTTTGATAAGGCTTTTCTCTCGTGAACAACAAGCTGCATCTGCTAATTTTTAAGCTACTGATTGATGAAAGTCTATAACATATAACTATTTTAAGTTTATGTTAGCACCGTTGTTATGACACAAGTTTTCTACGAATCCACTTGTTTTTTTACCCAAGTTGCATGAGTTAGTGGCTTTTGTTTCAAAAGTGTCAAATTTAGTGTCTGTGTAGGTACCAGCCAATATATTAGTGGCTGGTATTGTGTTGACAGCCTGCGCATATAGCTCAACTGTTACGCCATTTCATTACAAAGCTGAATATAGTCAATGATGTAGCGTCGATTTCCGTAGGGGTATATATTTTTTTAATTTTTGTATACTTCAGCTTATTGTTCCGACCATTTGAAAAATGAGGAGGTACTTTGTAGTCGTGCGTGTTTTAGTTTTTTCTTTTTTGTTTACACCTGCGAAGCAACGTGTATTAGTGCGAACGTACTTTTTTTTCGAACCTATGTCGCCAATGAAAGTGCTAATTTTGGTGGCACTTTTGAATCGGTAGGCTGCTGTAACAGAATAATATCATGTGTGCTTTGACATTTGATGAATAATCAGTTAACACAGTTGATACATTTTTAGTTCATCAAATGAACTGAAAAAAGTTATTTGTTTCAAACAGCAGTACAATGATAAAATTTAGTACATGCAAAATTGTGTCTTTTTGTATTTGGTGCTACTTTTGTTGCATCGAATTGGCAATTTATTATCATATGTAGCTGCGTTATTGGTGGCTAGTTTTTAGTTATTTTAAGCATCCGTGGCTGAGTGGTTAGTGCGTGAGACTCAAATTAGGTCGCAGAGTCGAATCCTCCACATAGCCGAGTTTGTCTAATTCGAGGCTTATTTTTTTTCTTATTTTACTTGATAGAGCTGGTTTGTTTGGGTCGTGTTCTCGCAAGTGTTTGCGAAGCATATCTTCGCCTCTGTGTTGATATATCATATTAAGGTCTTCTCAGTCGTGATTCGAAAAGTTTTTTAAAAATTGTCCCAGTATCGAGAAAAAAAAGGTTTAAGTTTTTTATTTTAAGTTCTAATTCAAGCAAATATAGCGAGTGTGCTGTTTGAATATTTTAGCGCTTTTTTTGGAATCGAAACTTCAAATTTTCAACAAATTGCAATTTTTTTGTTTGTGTAGTAATTTTTCTAGAAAAATTGTTTAATAATTTGCTTAATTCACTATGACTGTCGAGTATGCCTAAGCTCTAGTTTTTCGTTCGTATCATTCCTTTAAAGGTAATGAACGTAGTGAAGACTCTTTTATAGGTCTTGGTGATTTTTTTATGTTTTTTTTCAGGAAAAAGGCTTAAAATTTGTTAACGCTCAATTTTGATTTTTCGCGGTTTGACTCGTGATTTCTTTTTAAGTTCAGTGCATTTCTATTGTTAAAAGGAAGGCAAACTCCACTATCGAACAGCAAAATTGTAAATGTCACGAAAAACGTGAGCGACATCTAATTTCAAAAATGGAAATTAATTATCAGATTTATAATGCGAAATAGAAGTTTTACCTATTGATAGTTTTCTCAAATTGGGTTAATTTTAACATAAAAGTGTCCATCATAACTTGTTCTACAAATTCAAAGAGCTTTAAGGCCATCTGTTTTTTTTCTTTGAATTTCAAAAGTTGAAGATTTTTGAAAAACAAGTCGTTTTTTTTCTAGTTTCCTTGCGTTCATTGCTCTTTTCCAACTGACAGTTGGCTATGTTTCATCATTTTAAATTGCTATGAGTTATTGAGTTTTTCTATCATTTTGAAAATTTTTGGAGTTGTTCCTGGTAATCGTTTTAACTTAAGCACGTTTCCCATGTAATGACTGTTTTTTGCTGATATTACTAGGCTCATATCTTTTTTAGTTTTTGCGCCAAGTGTCCAAAAAGCCATTGGATTTTCATTTAAAATTCAATGTATATCTTGGGAAATACAAAGCACAGTTTCGCCTGTCTAGGAATTTTTTGCTAGAAATTAATTTAATGCTTCTTCAAAAATGTCTTGAATATGCACAGGTTGCGTCGATTTTTAGAGGTCGCGGTTCATTAAGCCTTCTGCTTTCTTACCCTTTTTGTTTTCATTTCCGTGTTTTGGGGAATTTGGGCTCGAGTATAATAATTTTTGGCAATTTTCCAGACACCTGCATTGGACCCCGCGCAACAGGAGGCGGAACAGGAGCAGCTAACCTGTGAAACAGCGCAGCTCATGATGAGTCTCTTGTTCGCCTGGGGCTTCAATCCCTCCCTCGATAGACTGTGCGTGGAACTGTTGGGTCTGTTTCGCCCAAGTGACTCTGTATGCTTTGGGGTCACATCCAGACCTGGATACCTGACGCTGTCTTTACCTAGTCCGAAAACAAGTTAGAATCTGCTAATGACTTTTCTCTATAAATTTTTAAATACTTTACTTGCTACTAAGACACCAATATAGACAATCAAGTTTTAGAATTATCTTTTGCGGCAACTTCTAAAAGAAGTGAACACTCAATACCGTTTCATTCATTAAGCGAGTTCTCAGCAATCTTAAGATTTTCTCGTTTGAGCCCTCTTTCAGATTTGAAAGATTGTTTTTGCGTTGAATCTTTTCTGTAACAAGTTCAATTTGATCAAAACTGTCTTACATTTTTAATATGGTATTGGCATTATTGTAGCATTTCTAAATAAAACAAAGGTATGTTTTCATCAGTTTTTAGAAAACGAGTATTAAAACACACTTGCGTATGATGACATAATTTTTCGCGTTGATAAAGATTTTTAGAGAAAGAATTTAGTAGGACTTTTAGTATTAGCATCAGGGAAAATTGTGTTTAGTATCAGAACGCCATTGGTCCGTGTCTAGTTCCCTCACTACCCAGCACAGACTATCAATCATCACCCTCTCCAATGCTTTGATGAGCATGCGCGTGCCCATTCTGGCCCAGAAACTGCTCGACAAAGTGGGTCCCTCATCCTACCCGGACATCTTCCAGGGCTGGAGCTCAGTCGCCGCACTTCACTGTGTACTCTTCCCGGATATGGCCCCCGGCGAGGCCCAGATGGCGGATCTGGAACAGCTAGTTAGGCGATGGCAGGTGCGCAATATAGTGTTGTAAACTGAGCTGACTGTGTTTAAGTATTTAGGTTTTGCTATGAATATACTTTTTTTCTCTGAGAAATATTGGTTGCATGTTTGGCCAGCTCTTAAATCGTACAAGTGAAGCTACTGCTTATATAATAGCATTTTATTATCTTATTTTAAAAAGAAAATTTTTGACCAGTCGTTTGTTCTTGACGTATCTAAATAAAACTGTTACCAAATAAAGATCTCAATTTTCTGTTGGAATTATTATGTGTGATTTTTCATAGTTGTGTATGCGAAGCAATTATGTCGGACTGGTAATTAGACCTTTTGTCGGGTTTCAATATTATCTGACAAAGCGAACAAACTATAAAAGTTCACTGGTTGTGGAAAAGAAAAGGAGCCGAACCAAGCACTGTATAAGGAGATCATCTGTTTCAGGATCGCTGTCTCGAAGTGCGCGAAGCAGCACAAGCTCTGCTCCTTGCAGAACTGAAGCACATCGGATCTAGAGGTCGTCAGAATTTGGTGGACATATGGGCTTCTCATCTACCGCTCCTGGGATCAGACCCGAACAATCAACACCCGCCGCAACCCTCCAATACTTTGCCAACTCCTCAGGGATCATCAACATCTTTCTCCAATGCTTCTTCTGTCGCTTCTAGTCCGAAACACTCGGGAGTGCAGCCGGGTGTCCATGCTGCCAATTCTTCTTACCCGCAGTCCACTGGACAGATGCAAGGAGACAATCACTCGGATGGAAATAGCGTGGACGATGATGATTCATTGGGATCCATGACTGCAATTACAAGTGATTAAGAGAATTTCTTTTGTTTGATTGGTGTTGTCGTTTGTTCTGTTTAAACTATAATTATGGGTTTTTCTCTTTCTACACTGAAACAGTCAGGTATGATTTCGAAAGTGGTAAGTGAAGAGTTAATTATTGATAGTAATTTTGAGAAAAAATAATTCGAGCTCAACTACGGCCTCGAATTGATTTATTTAAAGTGATAGGTTTCTTATATTTGACAAGGTCTTATTTTTGGTTTTTTAGGCGCCTCTAATCCGACTCAGTCCACGAAACTATCTCGTCACGAGGCTCAACGTAGACAAGGAACAGCGATAGTCATGTTGGGAGTACTAGGAGCCGAATTCGGGCAAAGTGTATCTGAAAGTGGAAGTTTCCAGTCAGACGGAAGTTTTCTGGAGGGATTTTCTGGCGCCAACATGTCCTTAGCCAGATATACATGCCAGGCTCTGTCGCACTTGTTATTGCACCCACCCAAAGGTGTAGATAAACAGCGCGGAGAACTGAGAAGAGCAGCTATTCATTTGATTGGACGAGGCTTCACAGTGTGGGAACCATATATGGACATAACTAAAGTGATTTTGGCTCTGCTAGAAGTTGCCTCAGATACGAAAGTAGACTACGATTTGTAAGTTGATATCTTATCTAAGAATTGTTGATCCTTGAAGTTCAGCATTTTTAAAGCTTCATTTTGTTCACAAAAGAGAAGGGTAAAATGAAAATACTCGAATTTGTTGCAAAAATAAACACGGGAAAGTAAAACGCTTGAGTGGGTCGCTTATCCATTTCACTTCGAAAAAAAAATTGAAATTTCAATCTCTTGATTACTTAAATGCTAAACGTGTGGGTGCATTTTTGTAGAATGTTCAATGGTTTGCCGTTGCTGCCCGAGATGGATCTTCTGCAGACAACACACTATGCGCTGACTCAGATTGCCACCACTAGACCAAGTCTGTTCATAACATCCTTGGCAAGAGAGGTCGCCCGCTTCTCAGCCATCATGGCCGCCGCACAGGTCAGTTCATATTTTGTATTGCCAATTGACGAGGAAGTCTCAGTTCTTATCATCACGTCTCCGAGGTTTTTATTAAGAGTAATGAACATTGTGAGTATTCTTATACAAGTATTGGTGATTTTTTTTTTCAGGAATTTTTTTTTCAGGAAAAAGCAAATAAATTGTTCAGGCTCAAATTTACTTTTTCGCGATTTGACTTGTGATTTTTTCAAAAGCTCAGTTCTATTCTTTTGATGAAAGGAAAGCAAAATCTACTATCGAACAGCAAAAGTTCAAAGGTTACAAAAAAGGTGATTGACTTCTAATTACGATAATGGAATTCAATAATCAGATTTCGTAGCAAAATTGGGTTTATTTTATAGAAAAAGTACCTATCATAAATTGTTCGTGAAATTCAAAGAGCTTTAAGGGCATATATTTTTTTCTTTAAATTAGAAAGTTTTTCAAAAATCAAGTCAGTTTTTTGTTACTGTTTCCTTGCGTTCATTACTCTTTTCCAACTGTCAGTTGGCTATGTCATTGTATTCTCGGTTTTACAGGTCACCTTTTTTGCCGATGGGCTTTTCAATGACAAAATGGAGTTTGTCTTCTTTTTTCAAAAGTGAAATTGTTTTTTTTTTTCATATCTTTTAATCCAGCTTTCTGATATTGAGATAGCTCAAGTGACAAAGCATCCAGAATAAAAGATTTCTGAAATGTATTGAGCTTTAAGGTGATGTCATTTACTTTATCATATGCCAAACTTGAATTCTTTTTTTGTCCAATTCTTTGAGTTCTGTAGCATTCCGGCAGAATTTTGTTCATTTGTTTAGAATTAAGTTTATGATTTACTTATATTGTTGAGTTCGATATTTGTCTATATTAGGGTCATTTGTTCATTAGGGTCCTTCTACTCTCTCTTCTTCTAACATGCCGAGTGCAGTGTTGGCCAGGAGCAAGACCGAGATACTGAGGAATGTCGAGATACTCATGGACAAGCAGCATCACGAGGTGGAGAATCTACTTCTGGAGGTAATACTTCACAGTAATACTTAATTGACCATCTACTTCTGGCTGATTTAGTTATTAAACGATTTAGGAAAAACAAAATGCATGGTAAATTTAAAAATAAAGAATATCATCATGTGCCCAATCAGACATAACACATGCTCTGTCGCTATATACATAATTCACCAACAAATTCGAAATGAGCTGAACTAAACTTTTTTCGGTTCTTTTTCATTTCCCTCCTTTTCTGAAATTCATTTTACGAAAGTACATTTAAAATGATTTTCGATATTCTTAACTGCAGTAAAGCGTGAATAAGTGAACAGATTTTAAGCTGCGTTTCCTACATGCAAATTACATACATGCATTTTGCATTCAGCCGCTGTACTTTTGATTTCATAGGAAATAGATGAGTGAAATTTCTAATTTTTACCCCGTCATTGCAAATGGTTCCATCCGGATTATTGCTTTTCTTATAGACAATGGATATTGTGCTGCACTGCCTGGATCCTGGGATCTTGAAAAACAAGATGCTGAAGAACGTCTTCCCATCTTGCAATAAGTCAGTACTTGCCTTTTATTTTAACACTAGTAACGCTTGTGTCATAATACAAGACCGATATTTCCCTACCTAAATTTCACATTTCTGTGGTCATGTTCATAGCACATTTTATTTTTTATTTGATGATTTCAAAGAGCGTGGGCTATCTGAAAAAAGTGTCAATAGCAAATTGTTCTTGAAGGTCAAAGACCATATATATTTAGAAAGTTTTTTAGAATCGATGAACGCAGTGAAGACTTATATAGCGTCCACATTTGATCATTCGCGATTTGACATTGATTTATTTAAGTTTAGTTCATTTCCTTTGTTAAAAGGAAAGAAAAATCGCCTGTCGAACAGCAAAATTGTAAAGGTCACAAAAAACGTGATCGACTTCTAATTTCGAATGTGGATTTTAATTTTCAAATTTCCCAGCGAAATAAAAACTTTACCTACTGATCCAAAATTTACTTGACATTCTAAAATTCAAGTTTTTTTGTTTCCTTGCGTTCATTGACTCTTTTTTCAACTGGCTATTGGCAGTTTTTTTAATTTACCTCTGGCGCAAAAACATATTTCAAAAAAAAAGGATCTGTTAGTTCAGGAGATCTCTGAGTTTGAATTTGATCAATCTAAAAAAGCCCAAAGAGACCATATTGTGCAGTTTGTTCTCTTAGTTTGTTCTCTTTTAAAAATAGTTTGTTCTCTTTGAAGGTTCTTGGCTGTCGACCACTGCAGTACAACTCGAAGAGTGGCAGCAGGAGGCAGAAGAAGTGTGGTGCACCTGTATGACAGCAGAGCCCTCAGACCCCAGGTGATCCAGGGTCCAGATGAGGCTCAGGAGGGAAGCAGTATCTCCTGTCTGTGTTTCTCGCCGGATGGGAAGTACCTGGCAACTTTTTTGGCACAGCTGGGAAAAATACTCTTCTGGCAGGTGAGCTCAAAACACAATCCTTGAATTCTTGGGCCCTATATTGGTTTCTTTTCCAGTTTCACATCCCCTCGTAAAATAATTTACTTGTTCATACGGCGATTTGCGTGTAGGAAATGAAAAACTTGTTCAGTTGTTCGCGCTCGCTGATTTTATTATAGTTACGAACACGAAACGGCATTTTACACTTGCGAGTGTAGTGTATTAATACCAACCTTCTTTTTTCTACATACTCGCAAACAAAAATGCTCATTTGGTAGCACTTTTGCTATAATCACGATTTTAAGCATTGGAAAATGCATGGCATCTGTTCTCTGCTTTATTTGTGGATAGTGTTTGTTAATTACTAAGTGTCCGTGGTTGGTGCGTAAGACTCAAAATCTCTAGATCGCAGGATCATAGCCGATTTTTTTTCTAATGTACTGATTTTTGTCGTGTTCTCGGAATTTGCGAAGCGCAGCTTCGCCTCTATGTAAAAAAGGCTTTCATATATTAACTTTCAGGAATCACCAAACAGCGGGATTGGAAAGTAGCCCAGTATTGCTGGTATTTACACAAGGAAACGCTTATTTTATGTTAAGAATTTTTTTTCCAACCCACCTGGCCTATAAAGTGCTGTGTTCTCACTTTTTTGTTGCATAGCACAGCAATTTAATACCAGGTGTTTTATCCGCTTTTTTGGTGGCTAGTGTTTGAAATCAGCAACAGCCGGTGGACCGTTTATGTCGGTAGTAGACTCTAGATGCCGATGGTTCCAATACCGTAGAGGGAAGGGTTTTTGGTTTTAAGAGTGCCATTGGACATAGTGACGACACTTGTAGCGGTAAGTCATGATGAGTTTTTTCAAGAAAGTCTTAAAATGAGATCACGCCAAATTTGTGTTAAATTTGATTTTTTTTTGCTGTTTAAGTTTTGATTTATTTCGGTTAAAGTGCAATTCAATGTCAGTTGCTGAAAGGAAGACAAATTACGAAGATTAAAAAAGCAAAAATGGCGAGAAAAAACGTGAATTACCTTTGGTTTGAAAGTATATTTTAATTTTTGGGTTTCGCAACGGAATCAAATTTATCTATTGATGCTGCCTCCTCTAACTTGGCTAGTTTTTTTTTTTTTTTTTAAAAGTTGATCACAATCTTTTTTGACGTTTGGAGAGCTTCAGTGTGATTGTTTTTTGAAAATTTAAAAACGGTTTTAAGAGTCGATAACCGTAGTTCAGACTCTTCGGGCAAAGTTTTAAGCTCTAATAACAAAAATTTAAAAACATCGTATTTTAGAGTGGATGAACGTAGTTCAGACTCTTAGGGCAAAGTTTTGAGCTCTAATAACAGAAGAAGAGCATTTATACTTATAAATGCACGTATGAATGCCCCTAGGTATAAATGCACTTTTGAGTTCAATTCAAGATAATTTGCTACAAGGTAGGCAAAATGTACTCCAACCAATTATGAAAGCTGAAATGGTGCAAAAACACGTGATCGGTTTTGAAAACGAAATTGGCTTTTTAGATTTCGCAGTAGAATAAAACTTTTACTTTAAAAAGGCCAATTATCAGCTGTTCTTGAAATTCAAAGAGCTTTAATGTTATTTTTGAAATTCGAAATTGAGATTCAAAAAACAAGTCATTTTTTTGTTTTCATTGACGCTTTTCCAAATGTCTGTTGGCGAGGCTTTTCTGTTTCGCTTGAGTTCATCGTCGCTTTTTCAACTGTTTGTTGGCTATGCTTTTCAATGCTAATTTTTCAATTTTTGTGTTTTATGGCATTTAAAGCTTCCGTTTGCCATTTTTGCGAAATGCAGCGTTGACTCTTTGAGTAACATTTGTTGAACTGCCACACGCGATGAAGGGTAAATTAGGTCCAAGGCCAGGAACACAGTTAATCGTGCTTTTGGACGTGGCTACGTCCGGAGCCGCCAATCTAATTGTGGATCAGGGTTATCAACGTAGTGAAAATAACCGTATTTTGGCATCTAATATTGTCGACCCAACTTGCTCAAATTGGGTTAGCAACCCCATGTAAAGGTCTCGGAATACCTTAAATTAACGTTAAAAACCGGGTTCGTTACACCCGAATCGGGTTAGTTTGTGGTGAACAGAACTAAATTTGGTCCGTGCTGTATGGGTTAGCTCTCAAACACACCTACCTCAATATAGCCGGAAAATAATGATAAAATACGGGCTAAATTGGTAGAGCAAGGTATAACATAAGACCGCAGAAATGCCTCAAATGAGTCTCTAATGAGTTTTGAACAAAAAATTGTCGTCGCCACTCAGAAGTTTGTAGCCGATTGTCGGGTTGGAATTAGCCCAGAGGTTTATGACAAGAACACGATCTGGAAATAATGAGCTCTTTTTTGTCACTGGCTTCTGTGTTATTCTCTGCCCTCTGAATGAACATAGGACAGTTTTAGGTTGAATGATGTTTATACCCAAGTTGACCGACAATGAATTCTGGTTTGAATGACTGAGTGTGCGGAAGTTGTGAAAGTTTTTCCTTATTTTGCCGCTCAAAATTTACTGAATACTTTTATGAAATCTTTTAATACCCTTCATTGAATTTTTTTCGTCTGGTTCAGTATTTGATGTAATTATTTGCGTCGGATAAAAGCATGTGATGATAAAAACTGAATATTTACGGGGAGCTAGAGGTGTTGCCTTTTGAACAATTACAGCGATGAAGCTTTATTCAGTCGGAAAGTACAGTTTGCGTTTGTTTAGGCTAGTAGTTCGTTCTTCAACATGATCGCAGCTAACTCTTTTCGAGTGGTGAAAGTGGCCGAGTGTCCCCGTTTGGGTATCTCCTCTGGCCCAGTGATCAAAGGCAGGCGATTCGTCACTCACCGCATGGTCATTATTCTATTGAGCGACGGAGGAGAGTTTCGATTCACTCTCTGAGTAAAATGTGCTGAAGAAGTGCTGCACAAAAAAACTATACTGCTGAAACATATGTATCGACAAAACATTCCAAGATAGCGATAGCTTTTTAGGAATTAAAAATATTCTAATTTGAAAATGGTAGCATTTCGTTTGTAGATTAGGTTTCGTTTTGACGGTGTAGCAACTATATGAACTCTATCTATGCAATTTATTTAATCTATTGAATTGACATTGCTCATTTATTATAGGAAATTTAGTGTTAGATAAATTTATTCGAATTTGTTGGTGTCTTTATTTATGCATATATTGCTAGTAGCTCAATTCAGAATTGTTAAAATGTTTTCACGAATAGGTAACAGACTTCAGAAAGAGTTGCGGTTATTGGGGTATTCTTTAAAATGGGCTCAATTTTGTTTTCAGATAGCTTTTTAATGCCTTCTAAGAAACTTCCTGTTAAATTGTTTTTATAAGTTTGCATGTGAAGGTCTGATTATGAGTCGATGAACGCAGTTCAGATTCTTATAAAGGTCGCAAATATGTAATTTTCGTTCCACGTTCCAGGAAAAGTTCAGGATCAAAGTTACTATTTCGCGGTTTGACTAGCAAAATGAACATTTCAACTATGGTTCAAGTCTTTTCAAGTTGGGTTAGTTTTATGAAAAAAAAGTTAATCATAAATTGTTTTAGAATTTCAAAGAGCTTTAAAGCCATTTCTTTCGGGAAAATTGAAAGTTACGATGTTTTCAAATAACAAGACAGTATGTTTTTTTTCTTTATTTGCTTTCTTGACTATTCCATTTGTTTGTTGGTGTTGTTTTCTTTCTTCGATTTTTTTCTTTAAAGTTTTGCTCAAATTTCATATTTTGCGGTTTGACTTTTTACCGAAGCGTAGTGTATAATTACGAACTATTTTTTCTAACCCAATTTGCAAATAAAAGTGCTCATTTGGTGACTTTTTTAGTATACTTTAATTTAATCATATTTAAGCTTATTCAAGCATAGGCAATTTCATAGTATATGTTGTTGCTTAATTTTTGGCTAGTGTTAGGTTCTCTTTGAAAAACAGGTTTTGTGAAAATGTATGGGATTTGTTATTTTTTCAATCTGCGTTTCAAATTATCTCAAAAACTACCGTAGAGCTTTTCAAAATATAAAACTAATGAAAAACCCGAATGCTCTTCTGAATGCCTGCATATTTCGCTGATATCTTTTCATTTTACCCCACGTTCTACGGCCTTCGAAGTTTTCGGTAGGGCGATTTTTGGCCTATTTGTTTTGATATTTTTTGAAATCTGAGATGGTTTCAAATAAAAATTAATCATGGGGATCTCCCCTTCTCAAGCGGCTTTTCTCTAAAACTGGTAGAAAAAAGATATGGCCTCCAACAAGCCCATCTTTTGACATTTTGGTTAATTTTTAAACTTTTTGACTTTCCCAAAAACTACCCTGCCAAATCGGAGGTCAAGGCTTTAACCGTAGAAAAAATCAGTTATGCGAACCTCACTTGCGCATGTGTCTCTAGGGCCTTACAAATGTCCAGTTTGTGAAGTTTTGCCCGTTTTTTGGTAAGTTGTTAAGAAAGATGAACCTAGTGAGTACTCTTATATAGGTCTTGCTGATTTTTTAAATTTTTTTTACAGGAAAATTTCTTAAAATTTGTTCATGCTGTTTGATTTTTTGCGGTTTGACTTGTGATTTCTGTTTAAGTTCAGTGCAATCATTGTTCAAAGGACGGCGAAATCCACTCTCAAACAGCACAAAGGTAAAGTTCACAAAAAAGGTGATCGACTTCCGATTTCGAAAATGGAAAGTAATTATCAGATTTTGCCGCGAAATAAAAGTTTTACGTGTTGATCCAGTTTTATCAAATTGGGTTAATTTTAACAAAAAGTGACCATAATAAATTATTCTACATAAAGCTTTCAATAAATTATTCTACACAAAAATTCAAAAACTGAAGGCTCTTGAAAAAACAAGTCTGTTTCTTTTTCAGTTTCTTCGCGTTCATTACTCTTTTCCAACTGTTAGTTGGCTATGTTTTTTTTTCAAAAAGTAACCTGCTGACTCTGAGGTTGATAGTTCCTGAAAACTAACATGGTGCTTCGTTTTCCCCTGCGTTATCTGTTCCCCCTATTTTTGCCTATTTAAAAGCCGATAAGGACTTCCGGAAAATCCATTTTTTGAATTTTGATCGTTTCTTTTTTAGAAATTTAATTTTTTTTTCGAAAATTACTCAGCCAAATCTGAGAGAAAGAATTCAATAGAAAGAGCGTGTATTAGTTCTCGTCTTAAAATAAGCTGCTAATTTCCTACTTAAGAAGAGAAATTACAGGTTTTGCGTATAGCTGATTTTGAAAGTTTGGCATTTCAGTATCAGTACAATATAAGATTAAACACATTAAACATTTAAACCGCGAATCCAGCATAAACTGGGCTACTATTTTACTTCGAAGTTACTGTGGCGCAGATACGAGCAGTCTTCTCAATTGAAGTTCAATTTTTTAAGATAAACATCATTAATTAGTTTTAATCCTTCCAGTCAAAGCTTAGAACAAATCTGACATCTCTACTGACGTAAAATGATATATCTTTCAATTTTGGACTACTTGTCCTTGTGTTACCTGACATAATTAAAAAAAAACGCCCGAAAACTTGTTCGCTGCCTATTTTGGGTTCGAAATGAAAATACTCTCCTTTTTGTGCGCATACATCACGCCCTATGTTAGATTATGATAACCTACTTGGATGTTAAAATATTATTCGCAATTGAACTGTCAAGGTCGGGACAGGTATCTCAACCGTGACAGTGTGCTACCAATTTTATAGACACTCTTTTATGCTTGCTGAAAGATTGCTGTCATATCATTTTATTGATTTCGTAACCAATCTATATCAATGAATTAAACTTCAACTTTTAGTTATTTTACTAAGTTAGTGTAGGTTACCATTCCACATAGCGCAGCCAGCAGGATTGAATCACGATCAACGTTCAGACCAAATTGGAGCTCAAAAAGTGAAAAGTGAGTTGCTGAATTCTTAGTGATGCGTATATCATAAATGATAGATTTCAGTGCCTCCTGTAAATTCGGACGATTTTCTTCTGGATGGATAGCACCCAGTTTTTTTTTATGGTTTGGATTGTCCTTTCTACTAAACCACAACCTCGGTGGTCCCCCACCGTGCAAAAAATCTATTTGATACCGTTATTTCTACAGAATTCGCTAACTAATTGGTTTTTAAAACCTGAGTATTGGTAGCGGACAGTCCTTATTATCAGGCCCTAGAAGATTTGACCAAATCCGTAGGGAGATGGTTATCGATGAAAAAGATATTATCGCATGTTGAAGGGACGAAGGCATTGCAAACCTTAACTGATCGAAACCAGATTTTAGCAGCTTCTCTGAGGAACAATTTTTCAACCGGAACGTTGAGATTTCGTTCAGACTCACTATTGCCTTCTTCTTAAAAATCGAAAGTAACATTGAACAACTCTTATTATCTAATCATAATCAAGTAGAAATATTCAGAAAATTATTGTACAGGAGATCGGGGAAACAATTAATCAAAATATTCAGGGACAAAAACACCAAAATAACAAATAATACCTATATAACAGAAGAGGGGAAGCTATCAGGAAAAACCATTTATCTATCAGATTAAAAAATAATGACGCTAGAGTTTTAGGACAAAGACAGAAACAAAAGCAGCCAAAGAACAGCAAGAATCCTCGAGGTACAACATCATCATCATCAGACGGTGATAATATCCCCATAAAATTGGCACCTAGACGGAAAATAATTGCCGAATCGAAACTTTTTCGCAGCCTACTCCAAAGTTCAGGCGAATCATGCCAAACACGCAACAAGGATCGATGGGACAACCAGTGCTAGCATCGACCTTGAGTCCAGTGGTGGACTTGACTCAGTCCTCATCGAGTTCAGGAGGGGTACTTCCACCCCCGATTGCAGAGTAATCTCCGGCAAGGAAATCAGCCATGGACGATAACTGGCCAAAAACTCGAAATAAGTATGAAAGTCAATGAACATTTGAGTGTAAATGAAAAAATTGGGTTTTGTTCAATTCAGTGTGATTGTGCTGCTGACTCAACACGCGTTTCAAAATGTTTCAAATGCAAAGAAAAGCAAAACCCAAAATGAACTTTCCAGTTTTCGGAAAAAAATAAATTTCCAGAAAACTGGATTTGCTGAAAATACCAGACTCAGAATTTACGAGCGTCTGCAATTGCAGGAAAAAACGAAATGAGCGAGACATGTGGAGAGCGTAACTATGTCTTCAGAGGGAAGAACAGATGCCCAAAGCGTGATCAAGATTTTAAAAGAACTCAGCGAGATATTTACAACGATTGTCGCAGTTGCCAGTGTCAATTCGTCAGAGCGCTTGGTTTTCCCTCTCGCAGAGTTACATGAAAAAATTTAACGAATTGCGGCTGAAAGTGAAGTACAAAACAAATCACGACGTAGCGTTGGCCTTAATAATGCTGCTTTTCCTTGCATTTGAAAAAAAGCACAAGATCGGCGAGTTCATTAATATGATCATTTTGGAAATTCAAATTGTATGCGACAAAAATTGTAAGGAACCCAAAAATTTTGAAAAAATTAACGTGCTCTGTCTATACTTCGGCTCTACCTATATCAAAAGCATGGTGTCAAACTGTGAAATTGTATTCTCGTCCTCCCATTGTGCAAGTTTTTTCTTCTTTCAGTTTGATTGATTTGTTCTTCGAAAATTGAATTTTTACTTCAGCTCCGCTCAGCTTTTTATGAAGAGATATTTCCTTGCAGGCTCTCAAAAACGTACTAAACGCGAGAATCTGACTCGTGCACTAATAATTAAACCCCAGGACAGTCGCCACTTTTCTGGGATGCTGGGTTGGGACTAGGGGCTGACAAAACCTTTAGCTTTGCGTTTATGTGCCATCAATTCAGAGAAAAGTTCGTGTTATAAGTTTAAGCTCGAGAATGCGTCTAAAAATGATTGATTTCGAGTTTTTAAGCCTCAGTGGAACTTTTTTGAAAAATCTGTATTGGCTAAAAATGTCAGGAAAATTACAATATTTTTAGTAAACGAACATTCAACTAATTAGGGGCTATTGTGTTTCATTGAAAAATTTTCTGCTTTTGGTTCGACTAATTGTAACAAGCCAAATGATAGAAGGGTCATTTCTGTCCACAATTCACTTGAATCAAGAGGCGCAAAAAAGTCTGGCTTTGAATGGGAAACTTTTTTTTTGGATTTAGCCTTGGATGTTTAGCGAGTTCCTTGTGAAGTAAGTTCTGTTTTAATTTTGGCTGAAGACGGTTTTAAATTATAAAAATAGTTAAAGCAAAAAATAGGTTGTGAAATTTAATGGTATTAAATTGTTTACAGTTAACAAGATGGGAACCACGCATTGATTGTGTTGAGTTATCCGAAACTTAAATATCAATTTACTTTTTTTCAAATTTTTTTTTTGGTTTGTTGGCTATGATTTTTTTAATGTCAAACAAGTTTTATCTGATAACAAAGAAGAAAGTTTTGCAGTGTATTTGACTGCTGCAAAAGCCTAAAATTTATGAACATAATCATAAATCGACGTTTGAGAAAAGTGCCAGAATAATTGGGCACGGGATTTTATTCTCCTAATTTCGACTTTTGAACTGGCCATTTTCGAACAAAATTTGGAACCATCTGAAATGTATTGACGTTCTGAGCTTAGATGTTTTGTTTGTGATTCAAAAGTTATGGGGGTTTGAAAACTGCAAACATGGCAAATTGGGGAAAATTAGCCGATCAATTGAAATGTAAGCGGCTTTTCTTCCGCTCATAAATTATACAAATTGAATCGAAGCAAGACTTTTGATGCAAGCATTACGTGACTGAACGCCAAGATCAAACATTTTGTGCCTGGAATAGCGGCGTGTGGAGAAGTATTTAGAAACTTTTCAAACAATTTTTTTTGCTTAGTTTTCCTTGAATTTTTAAAAATCTTTTTATTGATGTTTAAAAAAACTATTTTTAAGACCTTGAAGGGTATTGGGACCATTCCGGGGCTCGCCTTTATACGAGCAGTCTTCTCAATTGAAGTTCAATTTTTTAAGATAAACATCATTAATTAGTTTTAATCCTTGCAGTCAAAGCTTAGAAAAAATCTGACATCTCTACTGACGTAAAATGATATATCTTTCAATTTTGGACGACTTGTCCTTGTGTTACCTGACATAATTAAAAAAAAAAACGCCCGAAAATTTGTTCGCTGCCTATTTTGGGTTGGAAATGAAAATACTCTTCTTTTTGTGCGCATACATCACGCCCTATATTAGATTATGATAACCTACTTGGATGTTAAAGTATTATTCGCAATTGAACTGTCAAGGTCGGGACAGGTATCTCAACCGTGACAGTGTGCTACCAATTTTATAGACACTCTTTTATGCTTGCTGAAAGATTGCTGTCATATCATTTTATTGATTTCGTAACCAATCTATATCAATGAATTAAACTTCAACTTTTAGTTATTTTACTAAGTTAGTGTAGGTTACCATTCCACATAGCGCAGCCAGCAGGATTGAATCACGATCAACGTTCAGACCAAATTGGAGCTCAAAAAGTGAAAAGTGAGTTGCTGAATTCTTAGTGATGCGTATATCATAAATGATAGATTTCAGTGCCTCCTGTAAATTCGGACGATTTTCTTCTGGATGAATAGCACCCAGTATTTTTTTACTGTTTGGATTGTCCATTCTACTAAACCACAACCTCGGTGGTCCCCCACCGTGCAAAAAATCTCTTTGATACCCTTATTTCTACAGAATTCGCTAACTAATTGGTTTTTAAAACCTGAGTATTGGTAGCGGACAGTCCTTACTATCAGGTTCTAGAAGATCTGACCAAATCCGTAGGGAGATGGATATCGATGAAAAAGATATTATCGCATGTTGAAGGGACGAAGGCATTGCAAACTGCAAACCTTAACTGATCGAAACCAGATTTTAGTAGCTTCTCTGAGGAACAATTTATCAACCGGAACATTGAGATTTCGTTCAGACTCACTATTGCCTTCTTCTTCAAAATCGAAAGTAACATTGAACAACTCTTATTATCTAGTCCTAATCAAGTAGAAATACTCAGAAAAGTATTATACAGGAGATCGGGGAAACAATTATTCAAAATATTCAGAGACAAAATCACCAAAATAACAAATAATACCTATAGAACAGAAGAGGGGAAGCTATCAGGAAAAACCATTTATCTATCAGATTAAAAAATAATGACGCTAGAGTTTTAGGACAAAGACAGAAACAAAAGCAGCCAAAGAACAGCAAGAAGCCTCGAGGTACAACATCATCATCATCATCAGACGGTGATAATATCCCCATAAAATTGGCACCTAGACGGAAAAAAATCGCCGAATCGAAACTTTCCCTGGTGGACTTGACTCAGTCCACTGGTGGACCTCCAATGGTGGACTTGACTCAGTCCTCATCGAGTTCAGGAGGGATAATTCCACCCCCGATTGCAGAGTCATCTCCGGCAAGGAAATCAGCCATGGACGATAACTCCCAATAGGAACAACTAGTGTTAAGAAAGCAACAGACCCAAAGGAGGGAGCTCTGAAGGAGGTCCCAAAGAAGGTTACAATAGTGGCAGAAGACTCGGCCATACCAGCTCGGGCGTAAAAGCAAATTCTTCAGTAATGACACCGATTTCCTCAGATGACGACATTATTATAAGTCCCAGGAAGACAACCCCGCAACATTGCCCAGTCACCTTTTCTAACCCCTCAGCTACAGTGCCGACGCCAGAATCCAGCTGGACGAAGTCTTCTCCAGAAAAAGACACAGTAGCCATACAATCTTCCTCGAAACTCTCAGGTGGGAATCGCCGACAAACCAAGTTCTTTGGCAGTCCTATCAGGCACGCAGTGAAAGAGATTTCTGCCTTGACTATTTCCCCTAAGGGAGATATTAGTGGCGCCGTACCTGTGTCGACGGAGGAATTGACGGCGTCGTCGTGAAGAAGACATGGAGATTTGTTAGAAGAAACTAAAACTTTTGAACTCGTAAATTTTTTCGATTTGTGAAATTTCAAAAACTTTCCCTAGAGGGGGAAGTGTGGCGGCTGTCATACATCACGCCCTATGTTAGATTATGATTACCTACTTGAACGTTAAATGTTATTCGCAATTAAACTGTCAAGGTCGGGACAGGTATCTCAACCTTGACAGTGTGCTACCAATTTTAAAGACACTCTTTTATGCTTGCTGAAAGATTGCTGTCATATCATTTTATTGATTTTGTAACCAATCTATATCAATGAATTAAACTTCAACTTTTAGTTAGTTTACTAAGTTAGTGTAGGTTACCATTTCACAATAGCAAAGCAGCAGTTTTATGAATCATGGAACTATTCGATTGCAGTTTTTTCTTTCAATTTGTTTTTATTTCTTTTAATTTTTTGTTCGAAATTTCGAGTATATTTGCTGGAAGACGAACCTTTATACGTTTATGCCAAATTTTAGAACTACGTTTCGTGTGTTTAAAAAAACGAAAAGAAAAAGTTGCAGTCTAGATATTGGTTGAGCGGCACTTCGTAACAGAAGGTAATTCGTAACAGAAGACATTATGTAACGGTAGAAGACAGTTCGTAACAGAAGACAATTCCTAACAGTCGAGAATTCGTTATAGGGTACAATTCTTCACAAGACATTGGCAAGCAGAGGCGACTTGAGCAATTTTGCTCTGCTCCGCTCACAGTGGGCATTTTGCGCCTAAAACCTAGGGTTAAGCTTACAGTTAACCCTACTTTTTTGGTTAGACACGGCATCACTTCAAAAACATATCGCATGATTGATTAAAAAATATTAAAAGTAATAATTATTTTCGATTATACATTGGAGGATTTGCCGAGTTTCACAGCACTGGATGTGATTGAGTTCGTGTACTCGACAGTTCCTCGGAGGACTCGATCAGAGGAGTTGGACACCAGACTACTTCGATTGTAGAACGCACTGGCTGTATTATTACTACTAGTAATTGTGTTGTTGCTGATATTGTAATTGAATTGCATGCCGCCAACTGCTGCTAGACTGGAGCTGTAGGAGGGCGTGGTGCCGATGGGGGGCACTTGGAAACAGGGGGGAACTGTGAGAAGGTTTGAGTACATGAGGATGTCGTCACGATGGTGCACCAGTTTTTTCGCACGTGGATGAAACCTGATAAAACATATGGTACGATTAAACTTCAATCTAGGTGCTGATTTAGAATTTTTCGAGCGGTCGAATTAAAAAAATACTGAAATCTTGTTGAGCTTAATTAGAAGGTATTGTGATTGTCTGTAGTTGTTCTCGCCATTGAAAATGGAGAGCAACTTTGCTTTCGGTTGTTTTAGTATTTTATTTTTTTTTGTTTTGCACGCAAAATCAGGTACCAAAAAAATTATCGGAATGAATAAGTTTATATAACATATTCACGCCCTTTCAGTCGTGAATCAAACGACTCTAAAAAGATTTCAACAATTTTCCCGTAACCGAGAAAAGGTAATTTTGAGCGAGTAACGCGATCGATTAACTTTCGTCATATGAAAATGGGTGTTTTAGGCTGAGAAAACTTGGTTTTGCTAAAAAATTTGTGCTCCAAATAGTTTTGGAAGTTTGATTTTGCTCTTCCTTGGCAATATAAGTTAGTAAAAAATTGAAAAATGATTGTGCAATTGAAACAAAAAAAAATACAGAAAACTTTTTCATTTTTTTATCTGCTATTCGATTTTACACTTGCGATTAGCAAGCATTATCAAATCGGAATGTAGACTTTTTCTTTCGAGTTGTTATCTAGTTTGAAAAAATCAGTTAAATTAATTGCTGCTATGCTGCTGACATGCTCAATTTTATGAAAGCTCAAATTTAACTACTGGTTGCAATATTTGTAACTGGGAAATTTTAAAGAATTATTTTGATTTTTTGTCGGCTTGATTGATTTTGTCCCAACTTTTGTCGATATACTTGACGGACGTATTAAACTTTTTTTGAAAATTTTCCTAATTGCTTACTATATAATAAATTCAAAAATTAAGGTGAGATGTTGGATCAATTGAAACAACTGGTTCTGAGAAGCGCCTCTCCATCACCAACTAAGCTCAATTTAATTTTTGACTCAAAAGTTTGACAATTTTTTAAATTTCGTTTTGATCTTTCTCAAAAACTACATGCCCAGATAGGAGAGTTTTGTTTCAATCCAAAAAATGGTTTGGGGAAAGTCAGCGTATTTGGATCCGACCAAATTTTTTTAACAAAAAATTATGGGCCTCGGAAAAGTCGAAACGTTTTATTTTTTCAAAATTTTTTGAAGTTTTTAATGGTTCGCAAAAACTACGCTCTCAAAACAGAGTTTTTGGATTCAATCGAAACAACCTGATGTGGTAAGAACCCCTACATAATCACCAAATCTTATTATTTTACATAAACAATAGGGCTCTAAGAAAAGACAATAGTTATTTTTTTACGTTTTCTGAAACTATTTGAATTTTCTCTAAAATTTTTGTCTCTTCTGTATAAGCGGCTTTCACAATTGAAGCTATAATTTTTGGAGCAAAACTTTTGATCTATTGACCGTTTTTTGGAATTTTGTTTTGACTTTTTTCAAAACTACACTGCCAATTCATAAGTTAAGTGCTCAATCGAGAACCCGTATTTTGAAAGTTTTTTCTGCTAATGCGGCAGCGAACTTTTTCTGTAGAAAAAAAGTTATTTATTTCGGACAGTCAAGTTATTGAACTATTGACGGTTTCTGAGAAATTTTTTAATTTTTCTGATCATATATTCTGTCAAATCAGCTGAAGTTTTCAATCGAATGAACCGGTTGCAAGATTTTTTCATGTAGAAGCGGCGTCTCCATAACTTTTCAAAAAAATGTTCTGTCCTTGAAATTTTCATTATCTCATAAATTTTTACCGTTCTCTTTGATTTTAATAAAACATCTACCTCCAGCCTTAACTGGGCTCCCCAAATATATTTTCTAATTATTCAATTTTGGTTCTTGTTTTATTAACGTCTTTCTTTTTTTCCTATTTCTTACGTTTTTTAAGTTTTGTGTTGTATCGCAAGTAGTGCAAAGCTCCGCTTTGCCTCTGTGTTGAATACAATATTTTTCTACGCGCTTTTATTTTTCTACAAGTGCTTTCAACTTGACATTCTAGCTTTCTACGCTCTTGCGTAATTCTCTCATCACACCACACTAAAAAACGAATTTAAATTAAAGATAAAAAGGAAAATAGTTTTTGTAACTTTTAGGGATCGGAATATTCTGTGCTTCTCGCAAAGCAACCAGCTACCTTTGTTTCTTTTCACTTTTCGTTCAAATCAACTTAACTTGCAGATGCTTTTAATTCCTGTTTAGCTTGTTATCAAAGTTGATTGAAGACTGATTCTTTTTTCAGTGAAAATATGTGATTTGTAGCAAAAAGTTTGGACCGACAAAATTAATTTCAAAATAGCAGCTCACTGATTTAAGAACAATTTTGCATGGAAAAGCTAATAATTTAGACAAAACTTGCGTATCAAGGTTTTTCATGTAGAAGCGGCGTCTCCATAATTTTTCTCAGAACATTGTTGTCTTTGGGAAAATTTCAATTCTGATAAATTTTCACCTTCTTCTTTGATTTTAGTTTAAAAAAAACAATTAAGGTTTTGGCCAACGTCCAATTTTTGAAATCGCCCATGTCATCACGCATCAGTTTAACAAAATTATCAAAAATCTTGCCTCCAGCCTTAGCTGGGCTCTCTAATTATCTTTTATTTAATTATCAAATTTTGGTTCTGGTTTTTTCAACGTTTTTCGTTTTTTCTTTTTCTTGCCTTTTTTAAAAAAAATTTTGTGTTGCATCGCAAGTAGTGCAAAGCTCCGCTTCGCCTCTGTGTTGAGTACACTAAGTTTCTACGCGCTTTTACTTTTCTCCAAGTGCTTTTAACTTGCTATTCTAGCTTCTTACGCTCTTGTATAGTTCTCTCATCACACCGCACTAAAAAACGACACAAAATTGAAGATAAAAATGAAAAAGGTTTTTGTAGTTTTCAGGGATCGGAACATTCTGGCTACCCTTGTTTCATTTCACTTTTCGTTCAAATGAAATTGCAGATGTTTTTAGTACTTGCTTAGCTTGTGATCAAAGTTCATTGAGTACTGATTCACTTTCGAGTGGAAATATGTAATCTGTTGCAAAAAGTTTGGACAGACAAAATTATTTTAAAAAAGCAGCTAACTTATATAAGAACAATTTTGCATGCTTGTGTTTTAGACAAAACTTGCGCATCAAGTCAAAGCGGAATGATTGTTTTCTTTTAAGTTCTTTTTGTCTGATTGTTTTGCAGCTCTCTATAATAAGCAGCAAGAAATTGGAGCCGATAGAGTTAATTAAAAAGAGCAAATAAATCATTGTAGAAAAATTTCACACGCAAAAGCTAGTTTTTATGGAGAGGTTTAAAATTCAAGATTCAAGTTTGTTTGGCAGATTGCTCTATTCAATTAACTTTGTCTTTTCCCTCTTTCTGCAACTCGTTAAAAAATGTTAATTCAATCTATAATTCGATCTTCAAAGGTTTTTCTGGGCGTCGCACTGCCTAGCGTTTCGAATTCCTGGGGGCGGGAGATTCCTAGGTCGGGTACTGCTGCGAATGTGCTACTGATTCAACTGTGAGTGCGCAATCAACAAATACAATACAGGAGAAGCGACTATAAGTTAATTAATTCTGTTCTGTTTTAGGAGCAGTTCTGTTTTATATTACTGGGACAAAGAGGCTCTTTGTATTAACTTGTGATTGTCATGTTCAGTTCATTGTCAAGTGCAAGCACTGGTGTTTTTTTGAAAATTTTGTTCTTATTTCAATTTTCATGTTTGCGCTCTTCCGCGCCGTAGATAAACTTAAAAAATATACGTGGAGGCCAATAATAGGGTCGAACAAAGATTGATGTCCTGAAATAGTGCCTCAAGATACCTTGCGGTTGGCGAGTAACTTTTCTGATTGTCACTCAGAGTTTACTGCTGAGCATGTGACTTTAGAATTAGACTTTAGACTTTAGAGTTATGAATCAACTCGGAACTACGGTTCAGTTTAAAATATCTCAAAAATTCAACGTCTTAATTTTCACTTTTTTCTGAAAATTCTACAACTTGCCTCAATCTGATAAAATCATTTTTTTTGTACATGATCATAATTTCCTTGGTCTCACTTATATGTTTCGCTGATGTTAGTGCAAGAACTAGTAGCTCCTCTTCCAGTGGCTGCAGACACCTCCATCACATTCGGAGTCCACGTGTTCGGCAACAGCGCATTCTGACCCCGACTGCTACTCCGCAGGATAGGGTTCAAATCCCGGTGATGCTGATAGCTTTTGCTTTTTTTATTGCCTCGACTATGCGTCCATTGTCTAAAAATTATCGTTTTTATACCACACTCTCTGCTGCTGCGCAAGAAAATTACACTAGAGTTTTGTTTACCTTTTTCGTTGTGAAACACTCAGAAAAAAATTTACTAAAAAGTCTGTAACGAGTTTGTTACGGATTCCTTGGTTCAAACCGTAGCTTCAGCTGATTTATTAGCTTTCAATATGGCTTTTTAGAAATCCTTTCTCACCTCACTGTTACTTAAGATTTGGATGCCGTTTTTTTAAGTCGGAAACAAACAGAGTTTCCGAATTCTGATGTTACATTTCATTAAGCATTTTTTGTGATCACCTTTTTTTCTCTCGCTCGGTTTCTTAAATTTCAATGACATTTTTGTTTTTTCTTTCAAGAAACGTGAAGATAAAAATTAAAATAAAACTAACCAAACGTTTAAAAGGTAACAAAACTTTATGACCATTCTTTATGGAAAAATGCAGGAAAATTTGATAAGCAGCGAGAAAATGCGCTAACACACAAAACATTAGCGTAGTGAAAACTATCATGAGAAGTTGGCGACTCTTTGCTGCCGACTGGAAAAGCAACGGCGGCAACAATGTCCTAATCAAAAGCGAAATGAGAGAAGATATAAAAAAAACAAGTTTAAAAAACGTTCTGACAAACCGATGAAATTGTCAAAAAAGACAAAATGTTACCTGCTGCTGCTACTGCTGCTGCTGCTAGTATGTTGGGAGTGACTTGTGTGATGATTTGAGTGCAGGGGAAGATTACTGAGTCCCTGTTGTATGTTGCGTGTGTGTTCACTCAACTGCAGGTCGTCTATCTTCCTCTCCAACTTCTCCAAGATCTGTCTCGTCCTCTCCTCCGCCTCCTGCTTCGCCTGCATCACTTTGCCCGAGTACGCGAACAGTCTGAACAAAAAGAAAGGAATATTGATCACGTTCAAGCTTGGGTCAAGCGATTCTTTTGTCGACCCAGTATTGAAAAATTTGTGCATTTTTAAACTTTTTTGACCATTTTGTGTTACCGAGGCTGCAAAAAAAGGAACATTTGGATATTTGTTTAAGATATTTTTGACAATTTTTTGGATACTTTTAGTAATTGAAGAAACTTTTGCAAAATTTTGAGTCTTCAAAATGCTTAAGAAATACTCAAGCCTCGAGAACATATGTCTTACTTTTCCTGCGATTGTTCGAGCGCCTTCCTAGTGGATGTTGAGCTGTTCCTGGAACTGACTGGAGTCAACGGGTGAACTGATTCCGTCCCCTTGGAGCCCTGTTGTCCCCTCTGACTGAGTGCTCCCCCTCCTGCATCTGCCCCTGCCCTTTGTGCCCCTCCCCTCTCCTGTTGGGGGTCACAAGATGGGATTACTATGTGATGACTTTGACGCTCCCTCTCGCTAAAACATTTTGATTGATCCAACTAATTTAACGTACTTTTTTTCTGAGTAAAAACAAACTGTTTTTTTTATCAACGAGGGGAAAGACCAACAAACGACTTATTCACGTGAAATTCTGTGTAGTTCACTCCCCTGAATAAAAATTTCAAGGATTTTTTTATCTTAAATGCATTGAGCACGGATAACTGTGGGATTCGAACCTCGATAATCCTTTTTTAAGCTCTTACAACTAGCTTTTTTGATAATGGCTGATGTAATTCTGGGAACCCTTTTACTGGCATTTATGTGACCCAAAATCATTAAGACTGAAGAAGAAAAGATTTTTATTTCACCCGAGGGATGACTGAAGCACCATGTTGAACTTGAGGGCATCTGCAGAAAGCGGGTTTTCTTGATTGGCATTTTCTGAATTGGAATTTCTCAAATACCGCAACGCAGGAGCTTCACCATTTCCTAAATGTCAAGTCAAGTTCATTAGCACTGGCTACTTGAAAACTTTACAAGTTATGAGTTTAAACAAGCTGAGAATTTGAGCTTTGATTGTAAAAATTGTTCAACTCATTAAAACAAAAACAATACTTTTCGAAACTCAGAGGTTAGGAAAAGAATTCTGTTTGTGACAAATTATTTGCCAATCCGTTTCGTGCATGAAGTTTCTGTGAAAACATAAAGTTAGCGACAGTAAACAGTTCGGTTGGTATACAAGCTTTCAATTTTTTGTCAGCAAATAATGGTCAAGCCAACTGGATTTTTTAAAAATTGGTTCACCATTTGTTTTCACCTATGAAATTATAGTCATCGAAGCTAGAACTGCGCACTGCATCTTTGCTTTTCCGTCTAGAGCCTCCTCTTTCACTAGTACAGTCCCCTCCTGCTTCATTTTTGCTGCTATTTGCGTTTGTATTCTGCTGTCTTGGAGATGGTTGTTGTTTGTTGAGTTCGTTCAGCTCTCTTTGAATCTTGAGGTGCATGTGAGCCAGAGTCTCTTTCTTTTTCTCTCCAATCAGCATTGATAGTGATAGTTTGGAGTGGAATAATTTGTCTAGGGCTATCTCTTCCCTGTCAAATTACCACACAAAACAACTTGAACACCAAATTTTTTCGGTTCTGCACTCGAATGTAGGGTGACAATTTTCTTTGACGACAATCGAGAGCATTTAAAATGCATCAATTTTTTTGCAAAAAATTGGAATAATCAATACAAAACCAGGTACAAAAATCAATACAAAGCTAATTTCAAAAAAGAATTGCGCTTAAATCCTTGAATTGAACCGGTTTAGGTTTCCGAAATTGACCATAGAGTTTTTGCTGCAATCTTATTGTCTCCGCAAGTGTCTTTATTGGGCTTGTGCTGGATTTTTTTTCACGGGAAGAAACATCGAGAACTAATTATAATTCAGAAGAATGACATCAAAAGTTTTGCAAATAATTCTTCAAGTACAGTCAGGGGCGAGTCTAGGATTTTAATGTTTCCTCTGAGGGATGGGGGGTTGGATTTTCACAAAATTCGAAAATTTTGTCGGCCTTTTTTTAGGTCGACCAAATTGATCATTGACTTTTCAGCTCTCCCAAATTACTATAAAAGACCTAATTTTGACCAAATTGTCTGCGCCGCGGGCAACTTGTTCAACAAACAGGCCAAAAAAGGCGTTCTCGAATGCCTGAGTAAAATCTGCTACTGAGTACACAATCCGCTACTGAGTACAACGACTAATTCATCTACTCGGACAAAACTGAAGTATTTCCTTTTTTTTAATTTCTATAAATCGAAAACCTAGAAATTAAACAGCGTTTTTTTTTCAGTTTGTTTTCAGTCAACAATGCTCAGAGATATGACAAACATTGCTCCAAACTGCTACCAGAATTGGTATCGTGCTGTTTCTCAAATACCGCAACGCAGGAGCTTCACCATTTCCTAAATGTCAAGTCAAGTCTGCTGTCTTGACTTGACATTTATTTCCTTTTTTTAATTTCTATAAATCGAAAACCTAGAAATTAAACAGCGTTTTTTTTCAGTTTGTTTTCAGTCAACAATGCTCAGAGATATGACAAACATTGGTCCAAACTGCTACCAGAATTGGTATCGTGCTGTTTCTCAAATACCGCAACGCAGGAGCTTCACCATTTCCTAAATGTCAAGTCAAGTCTGCTGTCTTGACTTGACATTTATTTCCTTTTTTTAATTTCTATAAATCGAAAACCTAGAAATTAAACAGCGTTTTTTTTTTCAGTTTGTTTTCAGTCAACAATGCTCAGAGATATGACAAAAATTGGTCCAAACTTCTACCAGAATTGGTATCGTGCTGTTTCTCAAATACCGCAACGCAGGAGCTTCACCATTTCCTAAATGTCAAGTCAAGTCTGCTGTCTTGACTTGACATTTATTTCCTTTTTTTAATTTCTATAAATCGAAAACCTAGAAATTAAACAGCGTTTTTTTTCAGTTTGTTTTCAGTCAACAATGCTCAGAGATATGACAAAAATTGGTCCAAACTGCTACCAGAATTGGTATCGTGCTGTTTCTCAAATACCGCAACGCAGGAGCTTCACCATTTCCTAAATGTCAAGTCAAGTCTTCTGTCTTGACTTGACATTTATTTCCTTTTTTTAAATTCTATAAATCGAAAACCTAGAAATTAAACAGCGTTTTTTTTTCAGTTTGTTTTCAGTCAACAATGCTAAGAGATATGACAAAAATTGGTCCAAACTGCTACCAGAATTGGTATCGTGCTGTTTCTCAAATACCGCAACGCAGGAGCTTCACCATTTCCTAAATGTCAAGTCAAGTCTGCTGTCTTGACTTGACATTTATTTCCTTTTTTTAATTTCTATAAATCGAAAACCTAGAAATTAAACAGCGTTTTTTTTCAGTTTGTTTTCAGTCAACAATGCTCAGAGATATGACAAAAATTGGTCCAAACTGCTACCAGAATTGGTATCGTGCTGTTTCTCAAATACCGCAACGCAGGAGCTTCACCATTTCCTAAATGTCAAGTCAAGTCTGCTGTTTTGACTTGACATTTATTTCCTTTTTTTAATTTCTATAAATCGAAAACCTAGAAATTAAACAGCGTTTTTTTTCAGTTTGTTCTCAGTCAACAATGCTCAGAGATATGACAAAAATTGGTCCAAACTGCTACCAGAATTGGTATCGTGCTTTTTCTCAAATACCGCAACGCAGGAGCTTCACCATTTCCTAAATATCAAGTCAAGTCTGCTGTCTTGACTTGACATTTATTTCCTTTTTTTAATTTCTATGAATCGAAAACCTAGAAATTAAACAGCGTTTTTTTTTCAGTTTGTTTTCAGTCAACAATGCTCAGAGATATGACAAAAATTGGTCCAAACTGCTACCAGAATTGGTATCGTGCTGTTTCTCAAATACCGCAACGCAGGAGCTTCACCATTTCCTAAATGTCAAGTCAAGTCTGCTGTCTTGACTTGACATTTATTTCCTTTTTTTAATTTCTATGAATCGAAAACCTAGAAATTAAACAGCGTTTTTTTTCAGTTTGTTTTCAGTCAACAATGCTCAGAGATATGACAAAAATTGGTCCAAACTGCTACCAGAATTGGTATCGTGCTGTTTCTCAAATACCGCAACGCAGGAGCTTCACCATTTCCTAAATGTCAAGTCAAGTCTGCTGTCTTGACTTGACATTTATTTCCTTTTTTTAATTTCTATGAATCGAAAACCTAGAAATTAAACAGCGTTTTTTTTTCAGTTTGTTTTCAGTCAACAATGCTCAGAGATATGACAAAAATTGGTCCAAACTGCTACCAGAATTGGTATCGTGCTTTTTCTCAAATACCGCAACGCAGGAGCTTCACCATTTCCTAAATGTCAAGTCAAGTCTGCTGTCTTGACTTGACATTTATTTCCTTTTTTTTAATTTCTATAAATCGAAAACCTAGAAATTAAACAGCGTTTTTTTTTTCAGTTTGTTTTCAGTCAACAATGCTCAGAGATATGACAAACATTGGTCCAAACTGCTACCAGAATTGGTATCGTGCTGTTTCTCAAATACCGCAACGCAGGAGCTTCACCATTTCCTAAATGTCAAGTCAAGTCTGCTGTCTTGACTTGACATTTATTTCCTTTTTTTAATTTCTATGAATCGAAAACCTAGAAATTAAACAGCGTTTTTTTTTCAGTTTGTTTTCAGTCAACAATGCTCAGAGATATGACAAAAATTGGTCCAAACTGCTACCAGAATTGGTATCGTGCTTTTTCTCAAATACCGCAACGCAGGAGCTTCACCATTTCCTAAATGTCAAGTCAAGTCTGCTGTCTTGACTTGACATTTATTTCCTTTTTTTTAATTTCTATAAATCGAAAACCTAGAAATTAAACAGCGTTTTTTTTCAGTTTGTTTTCGGTCAACAATGCTCAGAGATATGACAAACATTGGTCCAAACTTCTACCAGAATTGGTATCGTGCTGTTTCTCAAATACCGCAACGCAGGAGCTTCACCATTTCCTAAATGTCAAGTCAAGTCTGCTGTCTTGACTTGACATTTATTTCCTTTTTTTTAATTTCTATAAATCGAAAACCTAGAAATTAAACAGCGTTTTTTTTTCAGTTTGTTTTCAGTCAACAATGCTCAGAGATATGACAAACATTGGTCCAAACTGCTACCAGAATTGGTATCGTGCTGTTTCTCAAATACCGCAACGCAGGAGCTTCACCATTTCCTAAATGTCAAGTCAAGTCTGCTGTCTTGACTTGACATTTATTTCCTTTTTTTAATTTCTATGAATCGAAAACCTAGAAATTAAACAGCGTTTTTTTTTCAGTTTGTTTTCAGTCAACAATGCTCAGAGATATGACAAAAATTGGTCCAAACTGCTACCAGAATTGGTATCGTGCTTTATCTCAAATACCGCAACGCAGGAGCTTCACCATTTCCTAAATGTCAAGTCAAGTCTGCTGTCTTGACTTGACATTTATTTCCTTTTTTTTAATTTCTATAAATCGAAAACCTAGAAATTAAACAGCGTTTTTTTCAGTTTGTTTTCAGTCAACAATGCTCAGAGATATGACAAAAATTGGTCCAAACTGCTACCAGAATTGGTATCGTGCTTTTTCTCAAATACCGCAACGCAGGAGCTTCACCATTTCCTAAATGTCAAGTCAAGTCTGCTGTCTTGACTTGACATTTATTTCCTTTTTTTTAATTTCTATAAATCGAAAACCTAGAAATTAAACAGCGTTTTTTTTCAGTTTGTTTTCAGTCAACAATGCTCAGAGATATGACAAACATTGGTCCAAACTTCTACCAGAATTGGTATCGTGCTGTTTTCCTTTTGCAAAAATTGAACCCCGAATTTTTTTTAGTTGCAAACCTGATTTCCAAGTAGTTGTGGTCGTCTTGTTGGAGTGAGTATTGCGCCAACTCCCCCACCGCAGTCCTCTCGGGACTCACTTCCAACTCAGGGGGGAACAGATCCTCCTCAAGGGAGAGGGGCACGTAGCCTCCGTTGTGCACTATCGATTTACGCCAATGGTGTTGAGCTGATTTAAAAAGTGTTTTTTTTAGGGAAAGTAATCAAAATAATCATAATAATTAGTTGTGTTCTCTGAGATTCGCAGAGGCTCTATGAAAGGCTATCCAGCCTGTCCAAGCCTAGCCTGTTTCTCTCAATTCCCCGAGGTCGTGTTTTTTTTTGAGTCTAGAAATTTTAGGAGGTGCCACTTTGCAGCCGATATCGGCCAGGGACCTGGAGCTAGATGCCAAGTGAGAGCTCGTCCTCACACACTATCATTGCAATGGCAGGGGATCGATTTCACGTTCTGACGGATTTACCCTTATGCTAAGTGCCTCCTGATGTGATTGAACAAAAATTTTCAACTATTGAGTAAAATCAGGTAAATTTCGACAACTACACTGTAAGGTGAGAGGTTACCTTTCATAGATATTTTTCAATTTCCCCTATTCATTTTTCTATAGAATGGTGTTTTGGTTTATTTTCGGGATTCATGAAACTGAACAAAAAAGAAAATTTGGAGCCAGGCAGATAGATAATTAGAGGGACTTTGATTTATTTTATTCGCTAGAATTGAAAAATAATGAAGTGAACTTTTTGCGCTTGAAATGCGCTTGAAACAAAAATGCGCATGAAATTAAATATAATTTTTTCAATTGAATCGCTCAATAATGAAAGCCAGTTTTCATTTTATCAAATGAGCGACTGGCGTTAAAACGTTTTATTAGTTTTTTACAGTTATTTCTAACTTTTTATTTGTAAGTTTAACAATTTTGTGAAGTAAATAGAACCAAGATTACTCAAGTAACTTCAAACAATCGCAATTAACTCTCATGTTACTATTAAAACTCATAATTGGCTTTCGTTTTATCGAAAGTTTGAATCAACGAAAATATAAGCAAAATGAAAAGAGTCAGTTGATGCGCAGGTAGTATAGAATGTTCCGACCGCAGCAAATATTACAAAAATGTAACAATTTTCTTAGATAGTTTTTTTTAGTTAACCTTCTGAATTTCTTCATTAATTTGCCCTTTTCTTGGTTAATGAGCGAGAAATGCAATCAAGCTTCACATTAGGATAACTTAGTTTCTAGCTTGAAAAATCAGGAAAATTTTTTCAATAATGCTTTTAAAAATTAATTGAATAAGAAAAAGACTTTATTTATCCAAAATCATGAAGAAAGAGTTTATTTATACAAAATCATGAAGAAACAAACAACAATCATCAATTTATTTCCAACTGATTACAAACAGCTGATATCGAACCATTCAAATCAGTACATGAAATTGGAACGGATAAACGAAAGACACATTGCGGTCCTACTTAAGTTCTACCCTCTATTCAAAGACGTTAGAGTTATTATTAGAAAAAAAAATCACAATAATGAAAAAAAAAAATTTTTGAAGCGTTTTTTTAAAATCTTTTTATGTGATTTAGCACAACTCGGTAGCATAAAGTCAGGTCAGGCTGTTATCGATAATATGATACGATGTATCAAAAGCTTTTCCATTTTGTTTTTGAAAATGAGAATTACAATAAAAATTGGAAAGGAAAAGAAATAAAGGTATAAAATTGCGGTTAGACGAGCCTATTATTTTAACGATAACCTGGTAAACGGTTTTTTTTTGTCTCTTTTTTTTCAAAATTTCCTAAGTTTTTCTGGAAGATTCGAATTTTTTTTGAAAAAATGCGAAAGCTCAAAAATTACAAGGATATGAAATTTCATTTCTTAGAATAAATTTGCACCAGAGTGATTATCTGTTAGCATTTAAATGCTGGATAAAATTTTGAATACGTTGAAAATCTACTGATTGTCGACTATTTGCTATTTCCGAGAAGGAAATTTTTTATAGTTTATGAACGAAAAGGTTTTCTATCTTTACAGACTTTCTCCAATTTTCTCCGGCAACAAATCAGTTTCGCTCATCATGTTCAGTAAATTCGCTTCTCTGTTACTCAAAGAACAAATTTTCATTTTGTTTTCCAGAATGGGGGTGCGAGTGTTGTATATTTTAAAATTGTTGTTTTATATGCAAAAATTTTTATAGAAAACACAGAAATCAGAACTTTTGTGGAAAGTTTTCGATTCAACGATCTAAAACTAAGTTTTAACAATTCGTACAGAGATAAGTCATGCTCTGTTAGTATTCTGTTGTGAATAAAAGGTTGTGTAATTGAATCAACTTTCCTTTCCAAACAAATCATGCCAAAGTTTTTTCGCTGGAGAAGTAAAGTTGGACTTAAAAAAATCTCAAGCCACAATGTATGGGCAAACATTTTTGTATTATTGGCTTTATATTCGACAGATAGTATTAGGGCAAGATCGCAGTTGGTACATAGTATCTCAGTTTAGAAATTAAACCGCAATGCCTCCCTAATTTTGAATTTACTGTCTGAATTTGTTGAAAAAAATTCACGTTAGAATCTACAATGACATCAGGGTACAACAAGAGGGTTCAACTTCCTAATAACTATCAACAAATTTGACATAAAGGTTAGAAGCACTTATTTTTTTGCAAAACTTATTATGGTAGCTTTATCTGAGTTCAAAGTTAACTTATTTAGGCAAAACCAGGTTGAAACATTTGTCAAATCTAATTGAAACTCTTCAAATTTTGAGATATCCCATAATATATTTGTATCGTCAGCAAAACGAAACTTTTTTAACTTTGAAACTGCATGATGCATATCATTTATAAAAACCAAAAAAAAAGAAGACAGCCTGAAGCAGAGCCTTGAGGTAAACCTGAAGTGACTGGTAGCCAATCACAGAAACAGTTTTTCACCTTTACATCTTGAGATCTCTTAGACGAAAGATTTTCAAACCATTTGTAACAATTTGCCCGCAGCATTGAGTGATCAAAGTAACAAAATCTTTTTTTTAAACTGACAAAAAAAAAACTAAATTTTTTGTTTTCCTTGACTCTTAATCATATTCATTCAGTTACTTCTGCTAGTGCATCGACCGTTGCAAATTTCTCTCGAAAACCTGATTGGCTATTATACAAAAATCTAAATTTTTCAAAGTAGCTGTAAAAGCAGGAGAGTGCATATCTTTTTAATTATTTTACTGCAGCTACTCAACAAGGATTTTGGGCGATAAATGCTTAGTTCAATTCTGCTACAAGCTTTAAAAAGTGGCAGCTAATTTGAGGTCTTCTGGAAAACTTCTAGTAGCAAAAGAAAAATTTGTAAAGTTTGTTAAATAAGGTGCTATCACAAAACAACTTTTTAAGAAAAAAAAGTTACTAATTTTGTCAATTCCATAAATTTGTTTGGACTTTTAGCTAGTTTTGTAATTGATTACCTCAAAAAATGAGCAGGTTGAATAGACATATTGATTGACTTGCTATATTATTTTGATACACCGGATTTACAACTTCCATATGGTTTGTTTTCTTAACTAATTTGATGCCAACAGTTGAAAAGTACTCATTAAAAGCCTAAGCTATTGATGGAGAGTCAGACCATTTTTTTCAGTCTAATTTTAGTAATGTGACTTTTGTTGTTTTAGGATTTTACTTTTAAGTTCGTTTAAAACATTATACACGTGTCTCAAGTCTACTATACAATTATTGAGATTAATGAAAAAATACGTTTTTCGGCCTGTCTGATATTTTTTTTTACCTTCAAACATTCAAAAAGGATTTTTTCCTTTTTCTTGTTTCCCTTTTCCAATTTTCATAATTTGTAAAGTTGATTTCTTCTCAAGGTTGATTTTTCAAGCATTTATGAAATTAAGGAGCATTATTCTTGTTTTTAGGACAACTTTCCTGTATGTGAGCAAACATGTTCAAAGTTTTCTGAAGGCATTGACTATGTTTTTGGTAGGCAATGTTAATGCTTTTATCATTGATTAAGTTGGAGAACTCCAAGTTTTGTTTTGGAACGAGCAGGAATTCCTTCATTGAATTCTTTTCGTTGAAAAAGACATAACCCGTTAACAATAACCCGATGAATGAGGTTTCATGAAAAAAAAACAAATTTTTAAGGTTACCTATTGTGGTCGAAAACGCAATCATTTTCCATTACTTCAATGGCAAGATTTTCCAAAACTTGTGTTATAAAGTAATCCAAATATGTTTCTGAGGAATCACTTATTGGAGTTGCAGATTTATTCAATAGTTCAAAGCCATTGATTCTTATTGAATTTAGGTATGATTGCTGTAAATCATTACTCACTTTACTTAAAGTATCCATTTTGAAATATTTGGCTAAGATTATTGGTAAAATAAAGTGAGAAAAAACTTCTCATTCTTTATCAAGCTCATCGACAAACTGAAATTTATTGAAGCGCAGTGGAACAAATGCTAACGCAATTATCAATTGTTTTCCACTAATTTAAACTATTAGTGAGATGGTTTCTGGCAAACCACTATTAATTTGTTCAATTGAATTTGTTTTTTCGCTAAGTTGTATCATAGTTCTACCACCTCTTGTTACTCTATTATTCGTGATAACCCTATGAGCACCTTTGATTTTATACACATTGAGATTGTCATTTTTATATAACCAAGCTTCTGTTAAACACAATTAACTAATAGAAGAATCGGGACGACTATGTAGGGCTTCTATATCTTCGTGATGCTTTTCAAACGAGCGTACATTAGACAATAAGAACCTATTATTAACATATACCGTTTTCCATCGTTGTAATTTTCGTTTTTAGCGATGTTGATGATTTGTTTAAAAAAAACTTATCAAAGCACTTTAAAACATCATTGTAAGCATAGTCTAGCAGCTTTCCTCCCTCGAAAAATTGGTCAGTTTTTTTAATCCGCTGATTTCCTTCCCGCTGAAAGAAAATAGTCCCTCCACGCGTCCAATACGGGGATCGTTTCTCATCAAGTTGAAGAAGTTGAGCCTTGGACGGCTCAAGTCTTTGAACACTCGTACATATTTCAGGTGTTGATTTGCTCTCAATAGTTTTTTTCTTAGTAAGATGACTTTCGCAGTCCTTCTCGCAAACTTGACATTTTTTGGCCTACTCTGGGTTCCGCTTCCTGGCAGTCGATGCGCAACAAATGTTTTTTTTTTCATTAATAGTCTTATCAATTTGTCTTCCTAAGTCAATCGCTTTAGTTAGCGTTTCGTTTTCCTGTTGAGTTTCTTTGCTGTTTTCAGATTGCACAATTTCCTCACTTAAGCCGTTTTTTTTTACATTGTCTCGCCAATTGTACGACTCCAATCATTCAACTTCGGATATAAATTGTAGCTTTGAAATGTTCGCTTGATCTTCAACTTTTTCTTCCACCTCAGATTGAAATTTACTTCTGAAACCGATCATTGTTTCATCGACTAAACGCTTTATTCACTCGTTCATTTATGTACGGATCGTTTGAATAACCTCAGTTTTAAGACTTTACGTTTGTTTTGAGATGTAGTTTCGATTGTCTGGTTGATAGTTGATTCAGATTTTTCATTTGGTGGGCTCATCGTAATAAAAAAAGATTTGATAACGGCTTATCATCCGTTCTGCCAGTGCCAAGAGGGGTTTGGTCCTAAAAACTCAAGTTGGTCATTTCTTTCAATGAGTACTGGTTCTTGCCGGAGTTCATTTTCAGTTATCTGAAACTATTTATTAAGCTTATTACAACAATTAGGCTTTGATTTTGAATAATCTTTTCTTTTAAAATCCATTGAGGCATGATTTCAACTTTTTGTCGCGAAAAACTGGTTAGATTTTTCCATTTTCCAGTTTTGTTCAGAAGAAGATTAAAAGTAGATTGGTTTTTCAATCAATCAATCACCTGAACAAAAAAACTACATCAACGGTTTTGCTATCTAATATAGGATTTCAATGTATTCAGTTTTACGTATCAAGATCAAAATTTCAACAAGAAAAAAAATTAAAAGAAAAAAATGAAAAAAAAAATGCGAAAAAAATGAGCACAACTACGGCTTTTCATTTTGCAATTTAGTGTATGTTTTTATCCTCATGAGTTCAAAATTTGAATATTCAGAAGGAAGTTGTTTAACTTGTAACACCCGTTGATTATGCCCTCGAAAGGCATAGTTGTGTTCAGTTTCCGTAGTTGAAAAAGTAAGTTTCAAATTTTTGGAGAAAAAGCGACCATGCTCTTAATAAAATTACTCACTCGAGCCCTTGTTGTTTCTCAAGAGGTGAGTTTTACTGAAGACCAAATTGTGCAGGGAGTTGCTGGGAGAATGAGACAGGCTCCCCCTACTGTTCGAGTTGTTTCCCCCACCCACCAAATTCTGAGTCACCAACAGACGATTCAAAGATGACTGAGAAGAACTTTGGTTAGTATTATTGCTAGTTAATAAGTTAGCGCCCTGATGTTGCTGGTGTTGTTGTGATGTAGAATGTGATGTTGACAGATTGTTTGTGCTGCCGCTGTTTCTAATTGTCGAAAATTCTTGCTCCCGGGTTTCTTCGTTTTCATCCAAATGATTGTTTAGTTTGGTGTCTGTCTTCCTGAATACGAAAAAACGAATTTTTTTTTAGAAATTTATCATGAGAGCCATTATCAGAAACAAATTTTGATTTGAAACACTTTATTTTCAAAGTTGTTTCTTTTTATAGCATCTTTTTATAGCAGCTTTTTTTCACATGTTTCTGATCAATTATTATTTATTGTAGTCTCAAATTAATAATTCCCTAAATGATTCTTCTTATAAAGTAATTTGGAGTTTACGTGAGAGATCTGTAAAATATGCGACATGCGGCACAGCTAGTTTGAGGGACACTTATTTGACTACCATCTGCCAAAAGTGATACGACGAATTGGCTGTTCACGACGGGTGGCTGCCACCAAAACAGGGGCTCAATATTTCCACAACTTTGCTTGAAGGTCCTCTTCGGGGAGCTGCCGGGACTGCCGGGGTTGCTGAGCGTGCCACTGGGCGGGGGAGGGAGCAGCGACTGAAGTTTGCTCGCTGGTGCCAGATTCGATTTTGCTAATATCTTCTGGATTATAATTTAGATTTTTTTCGTTTTAGGTCAAATTTACGTCAATTTGATACAATGTCAGAAACAGCGGAAAGATTTTTTCAAAAAAGGAGTAATAATTGTACTAAAATCACTAAAGTTCAGAATTATCAGTCCAAGAAATTTTTGTTTGTTTGCGTCCAGTTATAAATCTCAGAATCAAACTCAATTCAGTTCATAATTTTTGTGAAAATGTTTTGTCTCCAGGCAAACTGGCTTTCAACAAATCATTAGAAACCGATTTGTTTTGCAATAAAAAATTTTGAAAAAAGGAAAATTGGAAATAAAATTGTTTGACATGACTCTGTAAGCATTTTTTTTTATTTGGAATGAAATAATATTCCATTGATGGTGTTTAATTTGTAGACAAGCAATGGTATGCTGTTTTTGGTTTCAGTATTTTATGGCAAATTGGATAATTGTGAGGAGACCTTTTATTCATTGACAAGAGTATGTCTTTGGATGCAACCATGCGAAGCCGTTTCCAAATGATGAGTTTTTATGGATGTTCTTTTGTTGCTTCGTTTAGGGGAACTCAAAATCAAAGTCCATGTCCATTGTGTCCTGTAAATGTTCAGAGGCGGCAACTCGCAATATGTTCAAAAGGAACGATATTAAAATTGTTTTGATCTGATACAGTCTATCTTTAAAAAAATCAAATTTTTAAGATCAAATTTTTTATATTGTTTTCAGACTTCCCCTTTTATGTTTTCCTATGAAAAAGAGAACGCACCAACGCACCATGAAGCTCAACTCGAGATGTCCCTCCGCTCGAGAAGAGCCAATAATACATTATGATAGCTAAACTGTCTGCCAAATAGTTTTTTTTCGACAACCATTTTTTTGTGCAGAGATTCTTTGTGCGAGCTTAACTTCAAAGGTTGTATGAACAGTGTAATTTTATTTGATTTTGTCTGGTTTTGTTTAAAAGTTTTGTTTAGGTTAACCTTGCTGGACTTGAGAAAGCTCAAACTTTATAATGTTTTCTTATGGAACTATGAATGAAACTATGAAGCAAAACTAACTATTATGTACTTTTTTGATTTTCGAGTTCATTATCACTTCAAATGTATGTTGGCAAAGTATCAACTTAACTTTTAAACAAGATCATAGGCCAGTATAAGAAGTGGCGGATACTCAAGGTTAAAAAAAACTAGCAATCTGTCAATTAGCTACATTCAGTCAACTTTATTGTTGCAAACTTTTATGGTGAAGGACAAGAAAAAAGAAAAATTTTTCAGCAGTTACACAAAAAAACTGTCTAAAATTTTCATGGAAAATTTTTCTAAAGTTAGAGATTTTGATAAGTGAAAAAGAAATGAAATTTTTTTTAGCAGTACACTCCTTGATCGCAAAGGTCTTTTGAGACAGTGTACTCTCATAAAAGATTGTTTTCTTTCAGTATTTGTATAACCATAAACTAAAAAAATGTTGAAACTTATCTTTCAAAGAAACCGGCAACCAACACACTGAGGAAAAGTTTTTGACAAAACCAGAAAAAATAACCCTAGATTCTCCGTCGTAAAGAAGTGTTTTTAGGTCTTTTTAGGTTTTTTTTTTATTATTGGTATTTCTTTAAGTTTTCACTAGATTTTAAGTTTTCTCTATAAGTATTTCTAGAAGTTGTTAGCTGGATAAACCAAACGGAATGTTCAATTTGGGCAAAAATTTCTGCCCGAAATATTGAGATATCTCACAGAGCACAAGTGAAAAAACTAAAACAAGATTTTTTTCACCCAGTTTTGGAGAAGTTCACGAAAACTTTTCTTGAGCGGCAAGACTTGAGCGGCAAGAGTTGTTCTTGAACGAAAAGACTGTTTATGTTAAGATTTGTCCCTTAAAAATTAATCAAGTTTTCAAAATTAATCAAAATTAATTAATAGAGAAGCAACCTTTATTTACGGTCTTCTTTTAGTTACGGTTTTACAGTCGGCAAAATCTGAATCATTCAGACTTCACCAAACTGTTACTTTATGGTGACTCTGAAATATTACCAATCCTTTTCAAAAAACTGTTTTGAGATGTCTCTGGGGAGGAGAACTTTTCAAAAATTGGTTCGGTCCCAATCAACGATTTAACCTTGAAGGTGACTGGATTGAAGCAAACGCCACACATAGAATTTAATCAGGAAACTTTGACCGTTATTGCCAATTCCTTGTTTAAGCTTGCGGCAAGCAAGCGTTATCAAACTTGATTAAAGATTTGTTCTAATTAAACACTAGTTTAACAGAATTTTTTCAGCCATTTAATCAGCTGGCTTTACTAATAAAGGTAATTTGTAAATGTGGAACCAGTAGTGTTGTGGTAAGGAAGGGGGCTATGTCGCGAAGGATCAAGCGCTGGAATCTGACACCATGCTAGGCAGTTTTCTAATTCGATGAACGTAGTCCAGAATTATATATAGGTCAGGATGATTTGTTTTTTTGGTTATTTCAGCAAAAAATCTTAAAATTTGTTCAGGCTAAAATTTTGTTCTTTGCATTTTGAATGTTGATTCCTTATTTTTTCAGTTCACTTCCTTTGGTGAAAGGAAGATAAACACCACTACCGAATGTAATAATCACGAAAAACGTGATCGACTTTTAATTTCGAAAAAAATGAATTTAATTATCAGTTTCCATCGGAATAAAATCCTGACCCAACAATCCAGTTTATTCAAATTGGGTTAGCTTTATCAAAAAAGTGCTTATTTTAAGTTGTTCTAGAAAATCAGACAATCTTAAAGCCATCTATTTGTTCTTCGAAACTCGATGGTTAAGGTTTTTTAAATACACACGTCCAGCTTGTTTTTTATAGGCGTCCATTGCCGTTTTCTAACTGCCAGATGGCTTTGACGTTTTACGTGGTAAAGTCCAACTTGTTTTTATATAAGCGCTCGTTGCTGTTTTTGACTGCCAGTTGGCTTTGACGTTTTATGTGGAAAAGTTTTGTGACTTTTGTATTTAGTTTTATTTGGTAAAGTGTCTGCTCAAAAATTGTCAGCGTTGTTTGCGCTGCATCGTTTTTGTTCCGTTGCTAATTTGAAATTCAAATATTTTCTTTAGCGTGTTTGCCTGTGTTTGCGTGTTTGAAAATTTATTGAGAATACGAATTTTTAAGTAGACTTTTTAAATTATTTTTTGCTTTGTTTTTGCGCTTATATAGTTTTCTTTTATTTGTGTTGTACCGCAATTTATGCCAAGCTCCGTTACATCTCTGTGTTTTTTTTATACTCAATACTCAGCAGGACGTGAATATTGTTCTGATTTCAAATAGAAACAGAAACATGAATTATTTTATTGCGTTCACAAAATGTGACGCCGCCGCCACCACCAAAAGAAATATGTTTTTATTCCCTTGCAAAAGGAAGGGAAATGCTATTGGAATAATTCGTATAACGTTTTAAGCATTGAGAATTGAAACGACTATTCTCATTCAATACGAATATTAACGATTCCTCTCGTAAAATACGAGCATACGAAACCTTCTTCTCGTAAAATACGAATGTACGAATAAAGAATACGAAGTTAAAAGAAACTTCTCATTTGATACGAAAAGTGGCGTGATTTCCCAATCTGAGTATAAATAGAAGCTCAAAACTACGGGAATTCATTCCAACAATATCTCTTCTAACACCAACACCACTCTCTTCTACCACCCCAACCAATCTCTAAAAAATATCTCTAATCTCACCGTTAAAATAGATATTGAGTCAAAAGGCAACTTGCTGTAAATTCATACTAACTTCTTTTCTAATAAAATATTTCTCAGCGAATTTTAGATTTACTTTCTAAGATAGAAAGTAGAAAGGACCCTTTAATCCTAGCAAGCGTTTTGTCCGACGTAAATAGTATTGCTAGCGTAATAAATTGGTGCGACCAGTGAGGCACACCTTCTAAAAATTCGCAAAAATTGCTAAAGTCTCAAAAAGAGATAAAAAGCAAAAATTCCAATTCTCAAACTGGAGAATTGTTGAAATTTCTCTTACAAATAAAGAGAAGTAATAAATTTCCAAATCGGAAATTTAAGTTTTCTAAACAAATTTATAAACCTTTCTATCTTTCTTTTTTAAGTTCTAAACTAAATATAAAATGGCTGATACCCCAATATCCCATCCCAACTTGTCTTTAATGACATTTTCGGGAAACGATCCGAACCAAAATGCTACAGCATTTTGGAATTCAGTTGAAAACAAAATTCTTTTCTCATTAGGTCAAAGACCTGCTGATAATGATGCACGACGCAGCTATGATAGCAGACAACGATCCCTATTCGGATCATTGTTAACTGATACATCTCTTGAATGGTTCAATGATAATGTAACCAATGCTACCACATGGGCACAACTCAAAGACCTCTTCCTAAACAGATTCACTGACGGACGAGATCAATTCAAACATAGAATTGATGCTGAAAATGCAGCTCGCCAAGATGGCGAATTAATAAAAAATTACTTCCACAGAATTAAATCTCTGTAGATAGAGGATGGCCCGAAAGTATTGATGAAGCCGTTCATGCTACTGAAGCTGCTCAAAATGCTGAGAGAACTATAAAAAACAGACAAAGAAGTCAAAAGTATATTGATTTCTCAATTAAGGGAGTAAGACCTCTAGCCCTTAAACAAAAAGCTCATGAATACCTGATAGAGCATCCAAATGCCAACTGGGATCAATTCACAAATCATGTAATCACTAAGGATCTAACATTCATTGTTGCTACTGATCCTGCTAATAAGTCAACAACGGATAAAATGACTTCATTAGAAACTCAAATTAAAGAACTAACAAAATTGATCAAGAATCAAGAAGTTAGTGCAATCAATGATCAGAATTCATTTCAACGACGTCACCCTGACATCAAGGGAAGACCTAATAGTACACGATTCTGCGAATATTGCAGAATGAATGGACATTCTATATCTAGATGTTCCAAAAAGCAAGTTCAGGACGAAGTAAATAAGTTGCGAAAAGAACTCACCACAAAAAATGAACGAAGAGTTTCATTTGAAACTGATTATAAACGAAATCGAAGACCGAATAACTTCCCTAACCAGAGTAACCCTAACCCAAGCAACCGGTTTTGGGATAACCAAAACAGATCTACTAACAATTCAAATCCTAGCCAAAATAACTATGGCATTCGCCATAATTATAACTATAACGGAAACAATTTCCAAAAGGCTAATGCACAATCGTCTTTCAATAACAAAAGACCCCAAACCTATGATGATAGGTATCCCAGAGAAAACAAATTCAGAGAAAATGAACAAGTTGCTAAACAGTTCTACGACCAAGAAAATAGGCAATTCAATAGTAACCCTAGAGGTCGACCATATAACACTGGAAGCTATAATAGCAATAACAGTCGAGACTCAACGCGATCTCAATCACCAAATTTTAGATCGAATCAAATACAGTCTGAAACTACCCACTGGGTTGAGGAAGAAGTCAATTACTGTGATGCTATCACTGATTTCTTTCCTTTAAACTATTAAAGTCTCCGAAACCAAGCGATGATAGTAATCCTAAATCAAGGATATATCTTAGCTTATATCATTTTGCCACCGGAGACAAAAATAATAATAG